TGTTATTCTTCTTTGCATCATCTAGCAGCTGCTGGATTGATTTCTCGTGTTCCCTTACAATTTTAAAGCAATTTTTTTTTCTTTTCCTGGTCAGTAATTGCAATCTTATCTTCTACATGTGAAATTCTGTCCTCACACTGGTTCATTCTTCTGTGTAGACTTTCAATGGAGTTTTTAATCTCCTGGAAATCTGTTTGCATCTCTTTTATGGATTCCATTTGTTTCCTGTGTTGGGATTCCATCATGTTCCTCAGCTCCTCTATTTTTTTTATCTGTGCCCTCTAGATTTATTAATCATGTCTTGCACTATGGGCACAATCCCTGCTGTTATGTGAGAAATTATTTCTGATTTCATTTTTTCTGGATCCTCTTTTGTTGCCAGTTCAGGGAGTCCAGGTGGTTGAGTATCAGATTGTTCCATCTCGTTTCCCTTTGAGGTTGGTGTAGGTGATCTGGAAAAGTCTGTTTTTGAGGCTTGTTTACATGTCTTCTCATTTCCACGGGCGGGGAGGGGGGGTGGTGCTGCTGGTGCCCATGTGGCTCACCTCCTCTGCCCTGGGAACAGTGGAAAGGCGGACTGGGAGCCTCCTCCTGGGCGCTGTGATTGGCTCACCTCCTCTGCCCTGGGAGAGGTGGAATGGTGGCTTCGGAGCCTCCTCCTGGGCACTGGGATTGGCTAACCTCTTCTACCCTGGGAGAGGTAGAATGGCTGCCTGGGAGCCTCCTCCTGGGCGCTGGGATTGGCTCACCTGCACTGCCCCTCAATAACATTATTTAGAAAGCAACCATGAGATATTAAAAATGAGGGAATAGCTTGTGTACAAAATTTCAGTTTCCAAAAGAAAATCAGCTTATTTTCATGACTAGAAAAAATTATGTTCATGTATTCCCTTCTGGTTTGGTACTTCAACTATGAATAATTTTCCTTTAAGATTAAACATGCTTTATTACATTAGCCAAAGATGTTTCCACTTGCCTATGTGAGTTAAACTTAGCTTTGCGCTTTGAAAAATTTGTGTAATTCAAAAACACTACCAATGACTTAATAGTATCTAAACTACAAATTTAGTTAAGTAAAAACAACAAACTTCTCTGATTGTGATAAGAGGAAATACAGTTGAGAATGATCAATTATTCTTAAAGTATTGTTTTTTTGTTTTTTGGGATTTTTTTGGTACCGGGGATCGAACTCAGGTCCTTGCGCTCGCGCAGCAGGTGGCGAAACCACTGAACTAAATCCCTGGCAATCAATTATTCTTAAATGTGACTTCTGACTTCCTGTTTCTATTAAAGTACACAGATTTAGTTCATTAGTTTTCTTACCAGGGAACTAAAATCTAATAGAATAAAGTTCATTCTTCCTGTGTTACCCTACTCAAAAATAACCATCATTTTACATTCTATATAAAACAGTGGTTCTCAAGGTCCAAGGACTGTGGACATCCTGAAACCTTTGCAAGGGCACTTTAAAATCACAGCTATTTTCATAGTAAATAGTGAATAACTATGATGTTTTTTGCCTTTGTCACTATAACATATCCTATAATGGCCTAAAAGCCATGCTGGCACCTTTTCACAATTAAGCAAATGGAACCAAACTATACTACTGGTCATTTGTTCCTTTACTGCAACATACTCAACTGCTTTAAAAAGCTGGTTTTACTTCAAAATATCCTTTATAAAGTAGTAAAATGTATCAATTTAGTTAAACCTTAACCCTTGAGTACACTTTGTAAGATACCGTGACAGACCACCTCTGCTTCATACTGACATATGATGGCACAAAGAAAGTGTCCCTTTGATTGCTTGCTCTGTGAGCTGAAAAGATTGCTTTCTTATCAGAACACTATTTGAAAGATGTGCATAACTCAGTGAATTAATATTTTCCAAAATATCAATTTATATTATATAGAATCACAGGTAAAAAACCCATTCAGAGCACAAAAACAGACTAATGGATTTTAATATAACAATGCATAGTAGAGAATTAATCTTACCCAAAGAAAGGTCTAAACTTTGCCCTGAGTTACTAGATGGTGGTTTCTAGGCTCTTGAAAATCTCCTTAAGAATGCCTTTGTTTATCTGGGAGTGTTGACCACCATGCAGTCTAATGAGACTTATGAGGGGAGCTTTAGGTCACATAGTATCTGTTCTACATCAGGAGGGGCTGCAGATAAAAGGTCAGCCTCTTGTAGTCAACCCCACTGCTCCAGTGAAATCTCAAGACATCAAATCTCAGATGAGATTCAATGGGTAACCAATACTCAAGACAAGTGACACACTTCACTATCAGAAGAGTAATGCTATCCACAACTCCATGAGGAGAATACCACTTTTGTTCCACATTTGGAACTTTACTGGATTCTGCCCTGTATGCATTTACCTGTTACAGAGTTACTCAGAGTGTTAAGAATATGCATATGATATACTTAGCATAGTGTCTGATGCAGAGCAAGTACTCAAAACAGAGTTGTCACTATCATTGCATTATTTTATGAATATATCTTACTTTCAGTTCCTTCTCCAGCCTATCTACTTCAGCTCCTAAAGTGTCGATAATATTTTCTCCATGTTTAAGCATAAAGGTCTCTAATTCTTCAGGAGTTTTCACTTCTTGAATTTCCTATAAAGAAGAGAAGCAGGAAAACTAAATTTTTCAAAACTCTTAGTGGTACACTGACAATTCCTTTGAAAATTTATAATGAAACACCATAAAGTTTAATGAAAAATTTAAAAACTCTAGATCATAGGCAACAGACCACCTATTTCCAAAAAAAAATCAGTTCAGGACAATCCAGTACAATTTTATACAGAGGAAGAACTACAAAATCAGTGGCAAAAGAATATTAATGAAATAGTGTTGGGACAATTATTTTCCTGTAAAGAAAAAATACTAAATCTCTACCTCAGTCCATTAAATAAATAATCCCAAGAATATTAAAGATTTAAGGGTTAAAAAAGAATATAAAACTTTTAGGGCTGGGGATTTAGCTCAGTGGTACCGCAACTTGCCTTGCAAGCACAAGGTCCTGAATTTGATCCCTGGTACCCCCCCCCAAAAAAAGAATATGAAACTTTTAGAAGAAAAAATGATATTTTTGTGACAATGGGTTAAGCAAGGATTTTTTTTGCATAAGATAAAAAGTACTGAGGAAGAGTACAAATTTGACATTAAAATTATAAACCATATTAAATTTTCCATACAACTGAAAAATGATATTGCACATATACAACTGAGAAAGTCTTAGTATCTAGCACATTGGAAATGAAATGTTTACCAAAACACCTGTCAGAATAATACAAACTAACTAAAAACAAAACAAGAAGCAATGTAGAGGAAAGCCCAATGGTCAATGAATTTCAATGTTTGTTTGTTTTGGTAATGGGGATCGAACTCGGGCCTTTGAGCTTGCAAGGCAGGAGGCAGAACCACTGAGCTAAATTCCCAGTCCAAATTTCAATGTTTATTAACCTCATTACTCCAAGAAATATAAATTACAAGATATTACTTCATCAGGAAAAATTTGAAAACTATCAGTATAATCCAGTAAGAATATGGGCCGGAGATTTAGCTCAGTAGTCCTGCTGCCTGCCTTGCAAGTGCAAGGTCCCGAGTTCAATCCCAGATACCAAAAAAACCCCCAAAAACCAAAGAATATGAAGTAACAAAAACTTTGATACACTGATGGCAGAAGTTAAATATATTTTGGAGAATAATTTGATAGTATCTACAGAAGCTACAGCTAAGAATGTATTCTCAATGGCCTTTACCTATTTTAAATCTAGCTATCTATACACTACCCTGAAGAAACATTTGCCCATGTGCAGGAGGAAGCATGAATTGAGAATGCCATCAAAGTTGTTTCTAATAGTTTAACACTGAAAACAATATAAATGTTCATCAATTGGAGACAAACCACATAAATTGCAACATATTCATAGGATGGAATGTTTTATAACAAAACAATAAATTATCTAGAGATATATAAATTAATTTAACATGAAAGAATGTCAAGAACAAGCAAATTATACAGATGCATAAAGTATGAAACCATTTACACCCAATTTTTCAAATTTTAAAATGTTATATCATGCTTAAAATCCTGAAAAATAAAAGAGCTGAATAGAAATGACAATACCAAATTCACCATGAAGCTAATTCTAGGAATAGAAGGAGAATAGAATTAGAGAAAATGGGAACTTCAATTGTATTTGTCATGATTTTTTATTTTTTAAGATCTTAAGCAAACAAATATAGGTTAAGCACCTCTAATCAGAAAATCCAAAATGCTCTGCAATTCACAACTTTCTAGGCACTGATTTGACACTCAAACTCTGAAATCTGAAACATTTCTGGCCCTGAAGCATTTCATATAAGGAATACTCAATATCAATATATATATACAAATACAATGTTAAGATCTGACAAAGGCAAGTGGCCTATCTGTGCTGTTTGTTATATCATCTCCTGTAATTCTCTTTCAAACTACAGCAGTGTCCCTTGTCTGTGGGGATATGTTACAAGACCCCAGTGGGTGCCAAAAACCACAGACAGTACAGAACCTTATGTAGCCTATGTTTTTTCCTATGCCTATGTTAAATTTATAAATTAGGCACAGTAAGAGATTAACAATAATAAAACAATTACAGCTATGTACTGTGATAAAAGTTCTGTGTCATCTCTGTCTCTCTCAACTGCCACAGGGCGGGTAGCATATACAACATGTAGTGTACATGCAGGACAGAGGGATAATTCATGTCCTGGGGAAAATAGCACAAGATTTCGTCACACTATTCAGAATGGTAATTTAAAGCTTATCAACTATTTCTGGAATTTTCCATTTATTATTTCTGGACTGAGGTTGACTGTGATTAACTAAAACCATGAAAAGTAAAACTGAATGAGATGAAGGCAACTGCCATATTCTTATTTTAATTTTTTGTTTTCTTTTGGAATATTGGGGATTGAACCCATAGCTTTCACAATGAGTTACATCCTCAGTCATTTTCTTTCTTGAGACCAGATCTTGCCAAGTCACCAAGTTACCCAGGCTGGATATGAACTTATGATACTCCTGCCTCTGCCTTCTACAGTGCTGATACAGACATTCCTCACTTAATGAGAGTTCCAGTCCCACAACTAAGGCGTTGAGTGAATTGGTTGCTAAATGGGGAACTGTATATAGTATATACACTACAATATTCAGAACGAAGAACTCTAACTTGATGACTTTGCTTTTATTTGTATAAATACAGTACTGTGCTGTACAGTACAACCAAGAGTTACACAAGGTATACTGCACAAAAAAAAGACATTGAGGTTCCATAAACAAAATGTACAGAACTGTACAAAAAAAATTTTAAAAGACAGGTTGTAAGTCCAAACAGCGTACCTCAGTCCTAAGTCTGAACAATCGGTAACCAGGTCCTCATTAAAGGAGGAATTATACATGTGTGCCACCATGGCCAGCTCTGGAACTGCCATCACAGATTCTGAAGTCAGAGGTATCTAAATTCACAGATGTGTAAATAAAACTTTAGGCAAGTTACATAATCTGGGTCTTAATTTGCCTACATGTTAAAATGAAAATGTTATTTTACCTCACTGGGTTGAGAGTAAATCAGATAAAATAAATAAAATGCCTGGCACATAACAAGCACTAACAGCTTGCTGGGTTTGCTCTTCTGCTGTCTTCTCCAACCCAGTCTACAGAAAAAAAAAGGTTCTTTGTCATATTTTAGAACCTAAGAAGTTGATAGCTGAAGTTACTTTAAGACCTATGAAAGAAAGTTTTCATTTATTTAAAAAATATTCTTTTCTGCCATCAGCTACATAAGAAAATTTTAAACACATAAACTTACTTGTAGCATTTGGTCAAAATCTTGTTTCTCCAAATATGATCTTGTAACAACTCGTCCATCAAAATCCACTTCTGCCTTAAATCTTACTTTACCTAATCCCAGATCCGTGGCTTTAACATCATGAATTGCCCTGCAATCAGTAACAATACATACAAATTTAAACATATATACATACATACATATATACATACATAGTGCAATGGTACAAAGCCCAGAATTCTTGTTTTATCTACACCAGTGATGAAAATAGACAAAGATGCCTTTGGAGTAGTTACCATAAAGCATCACCTATCATTTTCTGAGGTTAAATTTTTATATATAATGCTATACAAACGTGCAAATTATCAAATATCTTATGGTAATTTGTATACATATGAGTGACAAAGCTGGTGTATTAAAAAATCAACTCTAAATTGCCTTTCTAAAATGCTGTCATATTATCTCATAAATCTTTCTCCCCATATATTCACTTACCAATTTCCTAAATACCATTTACAAAATGGTTTTGGGTTGATAGTAGAGTTTTAGAGTATATTAATCATTTTTTTAAAGCAGTAGTGGGGATCAATCCCAGGATCCTGACATACAATGCAAGGTTTCTAATGGTCTTCAAACAACTTGGTGAAGTATTCCAAGAATGGGATACCATATAGGATTGATGAGAGAACTAATAAGATAATATATAAAATGCTTAATATGGTACCAGCTATAAGGCAAGCATTTAATGAATAGCTTTTCTAAAATAAATAAAGTGGTATCTTTTTTTTTTTTTGGTACCGGGGATCAAACTTGGGACCTTGTGCTTGCAAGGCAGGTGATGGAACCACTGAGCTAAATCCCCGGCCCCTATAAAGTGGTATCTTTACAGATGATAAAACAGTCTCAGAGAGGCATGGTGATTTGGTCAAGATAGTCCAATTAGTGAAAAGTAAACCAAAACTCCTCCACACTGCAGCTCTTCAGACAACAAAACCCAGCCTTTCTGTCACACCTTTCTGACTCTCAGGAAGGAAGGCAGATGCTAAACTACAACCACTTTTCAACCCTTCTATCCTAACCCTCAGGAATCAAATCTTCCCTGCTAAATAACTGATAAATCCTCTTCTTTCAAAAGTGACCACTATAATATCTTTTCTTTAAAGAGTATGTAAGAAATACCAAAACATTCTGAATCCTGAAAACAGAGTCTACTAGAAGAATAAGCTTCAGCGACATTCCAAGTACTGTTAAAAGGTTTGTGGGCTGGGGATTTAGCTCAGAGTGCAAGGACCCGAGTTTGATCCCTGGTACCAAAAAAAAAAAGGTTTGAGTGCTCTTGAGCAAATTACTTAAGTCCAAACAGCCAAATAAAGAAGCTGTATATATCACTAGAGGGTGAAATATGAATAAATGACTGAATACTTATAAAGTTATATGCTCAACTTAAAACTTGTTCAGACTGGCAAGAAATTGTGTGTATTTTTTAAAAAAAGACTTATCTACTTCAGTCATCACAAAGTATTAATATATTTCATTATTTGACTAACAGGTAGCAGCTAATAAGTATCTTCTGATACTCTTATACATAACTGCAGAGAGAAAACTATTTGAGAACAAGCAGCTTATGAGATGCTGGAAATGATTGATCTATATCCTCTGTAGGCTCCTCTCCTTGAATGTTGGCTAGACTACTAGTTCCTTACTTTTAACCTACAGAATATGACTAAGTGATATGATATCATTTCCAACAGCACATGACTAGTGTGTGATTTTTTTTTTCTTGTTCACATTCAATCGCTATTATCTTATCACCTGGCATGTTTTGATTAAGCTGCCATCTCAAAGAGGCCACATGGTGAAGAATTTAATCCTGCTAACAACTGCATAATTCTAGAAGCAGCTCTTTCTTCCTTAAGACACAACTATACACTACTGTCGCGGCCAAAAACTTCATACCAGTCTATGAGAAAGCCTGACATAGAGAACTCACATAACTAGTGCCTAGATTCCTGACTCACAGGAGCTGTTACATAAGTACTGTTTAAAAACAGTAAGTTTGGGGCCAATTTGTCACACAGCAATACATAAGTAATATACTACTTAAAAAATTGCCATGAACTTTCTAGACGACTAGCACTTAATTTTTTCCAACAATTTAATTCACAGATCTTCATTGTTGCAAAAAAGTTTAGAGTTGCTGATCTTTTTCAGTTTAGCTCTTTTTTAGACTTTAATAAGCAATGGGTGGAGATGACAATACTCTACATCCAATAATGGGCAGAATAACAAGGCAAAAATATCAACAGGAAAACTGAAGTCTTAAACATTAAAACTTATCCTAATAAACATCTATAGAACACTCCACACAACAGAAGATATTTTCTTTTCTTTTTTCTCTATTTTATTAGTATATGTATGCAAAACATAATAAATACATTTATCATGGGGAACTGGTAAATACACATATCACATCTTGACCCTTTTTACTTCCTCTTCCCCTCCTCTACCTCCTACCTATCACTATCACTGGATGAATGGATAAAGGGTGGTATAGGGCCGGGGATTTAGCTCAGTGGTTCTGCTACCTGCCTCACAAACACAAGGTCCCAAGTTTGATCCCCAGTACCAAAAAAAGAAAGAAAGGTTGGTATACAGGGTATGACAGAAAAACATGATGAATGTTTAAATTCAAAACATTTATAACAGTAAAACAAACACTACCATTAACCTCCCTGAAAGCATTCCCTCTTGTTCTGAACACAGCTATCCTATTGTTTGTTCTTGCCACTTTCTTTTAGTTTGAGTTTTTTGAGTTTTGTTTGATTATTTTTAGAGACAGGGTCTTGCTGTGTATTGCAGGCTGGCCCTGAGCTCACTGTGTAGCCCAGGCTGACTTTGAACTACCAGTGATCCTCCTGTCTCTTGCCACTTTCTGAAGCAGTTCTGGAAGTCCTCTGTGTCTGTGGTTGCTCTCTCACACCTGCCTTGGTGCCCTGTATCAATTCAAAATGTTTACCTTTCATGGTCATTTTGACTTTGGGGAACAACCAGGAGTTACAGTGTCATATCTGGTGAATAAGTGGAGGAGGACACACACTGTAATATTTTTTTTTTTTTTGGTACCGGGGATCAAACTCGGGTCCTTGTGCTTGCACAGCAGGTGGCAAAACCACTGAGCTAAATCCCTGGCCCCTCACATTGTAATATTTTTACACGAGCCTGTTTTTCCATTGGCTGGTACTTGGCAGCAGCATTTTCCATATTTTTATCACATTGTATAAAAACACAAATAGACTTCGAGGAGGGTTTCAGAAAGTAGTGAGAACAATGGGATAAGTGTGTTCAAAGTGAAGGGTAGTACTTTGAGGGGAATAGAGGGCAATGTGTCTTTTACTGTAATAATTTTTTAAATTAAAACATTCACTGTAGTTTTCCATGTCTATATGTATGACAAAATATTAGTCATAAAAAATGAAAGCCTAACATCTGTGGCAACATGAATGAGCCTGGAAAACACTATGTTAAATAAGTTAGACACATAAAGACAAATACTGCATGTCATGTGGAAGTTTAAAAAGTTGATCCTATTAAAGTAGAGTACTGTATAATATTGATTACTAAAGCCTAAGCAAGAGGAAAGGGAGGAAAAGGATAGAAAGAGGATGGTTAATGGGTATCAGTTGCATGTAGATATATCTATGGTTCCCCACAATTATATACTTCAAAATGACTAGTAGAAAGGAGTGTTTCCAATCCAAAGAAACAAATGTTTGAGGTGATGGATATGCCAATTACCCTGATCTAATCATTACATATTGTATAGATGTAATGAAATACCATGCTATATTTCATATGTATAAGTATTATTCACAACTAAAAATAAAAATGCATATATGAAAAATTAAATTTAAAAAGGAATTAGAAAATATTTTGAGATGAAGGAATATGATCTAATATATCAAAATTTCTGGGATGCAGAGAAAGCAGTACTTAAAGGAAAATTTATTTGTAAATGTCTATATTAAATTAAAAACTCTGTATTCCCAGCTACTTGGGTGGCTGAGGCAGGACAATCACTTGAGCCCAAATGAGACCAGCCTGGGCAAATGGCGAAACTCATCTCAAAAAATGAAAACAAAAACAACAATAAAACTTAACCTACTATCTTAAGACATTGGAAAAAGAAGAGCAAACTAAAGCTAAAGCAACCAGAAGAAAGAAAATAATAAAGAATAATGCAGAAATCAATGGAAAAAAAATAGAAAAACAACACAGAAAATTGATTAAACCAAACACTGGTTCTTTGACAACAAAACTGACAATCTTTAATGTTTTTAAATGGCCAAAAGAATCAAATTAATATAATCAGAAACAGAAGATGAGACACTATAACCAAGTCTAAATAAACAAAAAGGATTTCAAAGAAATACTAGATAATTTAGAATGGGCAAGTTCCTAGAAAGAAACAAGCTACCAAAACTGACTCGCAACAAATAGACAATCTGAACAGGGGGGAGGGGGAACAAAGAAAAAATTTTTAAATAAACTAGAAGTCTATTTCAAAAGAAATATATAGACTTCCAGGATGATGGTGGGGCGGTGAGCAGCAGAGACTTGGTGTACTGACATCGGAATATTGCAGTGTAAAGAGATGGAGGAAAGTAGGACTACCCAGGAAGGATCTGAAGCAAGAATTGAAGTCCTCAGGGAGAGCAAAGAGAGAGGCTTTAATGAAGAGGAGGAAGATAGCAAGCACTCTTTCTCCCAGAGCATGAACTCTAGGCGTGGGAACTGTGAATCAAGCCTGCAGATGCAGGGTGACTACTGGAAACCTCATAGGTCTCCACGAAGCAACACACTAGTGGAACAGAGCAGTGGATGCAGTGGACTGCAGGGGCTGATAAGTTATTCAAGTCCAGATGTCACCTAGGAGAGGGCGACTGGCCAATAGCCATCTTGGAGAGGGGCTAACTGGGCTAAGAACTCAGGCTCCCGGTGTCTTGGTGGGAATGCTGCGTTCAAGTCAGCAGGAGGTCAGGGAGTGGAGTTCAAGCTGGCAGGAGGCACATGGAATATTACAGGCTCAAAAAATATAGTTCCAGCCTCAGAGCCAGAAACCAGCTTGAACTTTAGTGGAACTACAGCTGCAGGCTGGCTGGGAATATCTACTACTCCACGGTAAAGCTACAGCTGGCTTGCTGGGATTAATCAATTTGGCTCTGGACTCTGTTTACTCGGATTATCTACCAGTGCCAGCAAAGACACACCTTGAATTGGACTTTATTTCTCCTTCTCTTTTTTCCTCTTTTCTGGTTCTTGTTCTTGTTTTGTTTTTTCTTGACTGTTTGAACATGGTTTCTAGCTTTTTCGTTGTTGATCTGTTCTGTTCTGGTCTGGTTTTTATTTCATTCTTTCTCTTTTCCTCCTGTTTTTTTTCACCAATTTCCCAAAGTTTGTACAATCTTCATTTGTCCTCTAGCCTTGCTTCTAATCTCTTCCTCTTCTTCTATTTCTCTATTTCCCCTCACCACACCCCTTTTAAATCTTCTCCACTAAAATAAAATTGCCATACTAAGGGCTTATTTATTGCATGTAATTTTCTGGTTCATCGTACAATCTGTTACATAACCACAAATCTAGTTCATACAATTAAAGGTGGCAAGTTAATAGTTACCACAGTTAACTAGGCTGTATTTGATGCTACTATTATTGCTGATTGTACTACTTTAAACAAAGTGACACAACTGTGCTAATCAGTTCTTCCTGGTATACCAAGACTGAGAGCCAAGGGCCGGGGATTTAGCTCAGTGGTTTCACTGCCTGCTTCGCAAGTGCAAGGACCCAAGTTCGATCCCCAGTACCAAAAAAATAAATAAATAAATAAAAGTACCTAGTAATCAATCTAATGAAGGAAGTAATTAAGACCTCATATAGAAAACTACAGTACTCAAAAAAGAGACTGAAGAGGTTATCAGAAAATGGAAAGATATCCCTTGTTCTTGGGTAAGAAGAACCAATATAGTGAAAATGGTCATACTTCCAAAATTGTTATACAGATTTAAGGCAATTCTGATCAAAATCCCAACAGCATACCTCACAGAATTAGAAAAAATAATCCTAAACTGCATTTGGAACCAGAAGAGACCTAGAATAGGCAAAGGCAATTCTGGGCAACAAAGGCAAGGCAGGGAGCATCATAAACCCTGATTTAAAATTATACTACAAAGCTACTATGATAAAAACAGCATGGTACTGGCAAAAAAACAGACCTGAGGATCAATGGAACAGATTGGAAGATGCAGAAACAACTCCAAACATACTCGGCCACCTATCTTTGACAATTTGAAATTGCAATACAAATATAGGGCAAGTATAAATGTAATGATTTAATATTAAGTGGTTTCACATTAAGGAGCTAATTACTTTATACACTGCTATTCTCATTTTATCACTTGATTATGCCTTATTCTAAAAGTTAAGGAATACCAAATTTAAAAGGAAGCATATAAGAAGTTTCCTAAATGTACCTGCTTCCTTCCAAGATGATAATTCTGAAAAGTAATAGATTTTTAAAGTTCCAGAAGCTAGGAATCCAATACTACCTCTGAAAACACAAACCCCACATGTTTGTTTTTCATGTTTTTGTAAGCCTTAACAATATCGCCAGAGTAAGGCTGACCTTACTGATGGGTCACTTTCCAGGAGTTCAGTAAGCCGTTGTACTTGCTCTGGTTGGATGGATCGTCCTAAGAGTGCTTCTGTGTTAGTGTAGATCAGGAATGCTGAGACCACACCTAATAAGGTGCCCACACCCAAAGAACCGAGGCTGTCATACAATGGATTGCCTAAATAAAGTACATGGGAAAGCAGCAAATTAACAGTTATTATTTCAATAAAAACTGCCTTAGAAAGCAAATAACCAGAATTAGTCAAGGGGACTCAAAATTCAATTGCAAATTGAATATATTAAAAGTTTTTAAAATGTTCTTCATGGAGAAATGATTACCAAAGTGAATGTAATTTATATATATTTCTTTTTTTCTTTTTGGTACCGGAGATCGAACTCAGGACCTTGCACTTGGCGAGGCTGGCACAGTGCCACTGAGCTAAATTCTTGGCCCTAAAAGTTTTACATTCTTTTTTAATCCTTAAGTCTTTAATCTTCTTGGGATTATTTATTTAATGGACTGAGGCAGAGATTTAGTATTCATTCCAAATTCCTTGAGTTACCTCCTTTCATGACTCCTACAAGTTTTACTATACTTCAAAACAAGAATAGGTATAATGCCTATATATTACATGAGAGTATTATGTAACTTAATTATTTAATACCTGTTTCTTGCATCTGGTCATGACATAGGTGAGGACTCATACAGAATTTTCAGATTATAGATATCCTTTTCATATATATATATATATATATATATACACACACACACACACACATACACACACATACATATATATATAAAATAATCAATTTATTTTAGATATATCAGTAGTGTGCTTTCCTATCCCAGATTGGCAAAATAACCATGAAATCAAGCTTTAAGAAATAACATTTTTTGTGTCTTATTATTACCAACATCCTGTAAGAGAATTAAACCCTACAGAAAATGATATGGCTGACTTTTCTCACTTGATCAATTATGATATCTAATTAATTAGCAATTCTAGATACAAAGCAGAGAAGATCCCCCCGCCCTCCCCATACTGCAGATTGAACTAGGACATTGTGCTTGTGAGGCAGGCGCAGCGCCACTGGGCTAAATCCCTGGTCCAGAATGCAGAGAAGTTAATTCATTACATGAAACAAATGCCTGAGGTTCATAAATGTGGTTCCAGGACCAGGAGCATCAGTATCACTTGAGAATGTGGGAGCAACACAAATTCTCAGGCTCCATCTCAGAATTTCTGAATCAGAAATTCTTAAAAATAAGAACCAAGACAGATTATGTAAAGGTACAAATCTCCAATGATGAATATCATTATATTGTATACCTAAAATGTACCAATAAAATTAATTTAAAAAAAAAGAAATTCTGAAGGTGAGGCTCACTACTAAGTGTTTCATCAAGTCTTCTAGGAGATTCTGTTTAAAATCTGCCTGAGGTTGATACAGCTTAATTCTTTCTCAGAACTTATGATGAAGCCTAATTTACTGCCTATGAGGGTACAGGTAATATTTATACTACAGATATTAATGAATGTTATACTTTATAAGCTTTATACACATGGCTTTTATGAAAAATCTTATTTCAAAAATGAAATGTCATCCATATTACATTAACTATTTTAATGCTTGATAAAATATTTATTTTACTAAAAATCTCAATTTATATGTCAATTTTATTAATGCATACTCACAATATAACACTAAGACAGGCATGGTGACACACGTATAATCTCAGTACTCTGGGGGGCTGAGGCAAGACAATCACAAGCTAGAGCTCAGCCTGGGTAACAGCAACTTAGCAAGACCCTGTCTCAAAAAAATTTTTAAAGGCCAGGGACATAGATCAGGGTGAAGGCCTTGTGTTCAAACCCATTACTACAAAAACAAAAAAATACCACTAAAAAGTAAACTCACTATCTCTATTATCTGATCCACTGGTAAGCCTAATCCATTACTAGGTTTGCAATTCAAAATAAATACTGCTCTTTAGAGAGCCAAATTAAATGAAGAATTCGTGTCCAAAAAGAGGTCTAAAACGGTAAGGTAAAGCAGAAAAACAATCAATACTTTTAGAACTATTTCAGATCACAGAATACACTGGAGAATGCTGCTTTAGTCTTAAAATGTACATTCAAGATGAGAAAGAACCATTTGTAGTTCAGACTATTTGAAGAAACATTGCAGAACTGTGGAAGCTCATTACCTGAAATTATTTTAAATATGCAAAAACAAATGGAGAATAATGGAAGTACAATATAGTTCTGTTCCAAAAGAATTCTAACTTCTGGTGTATATCTCCAATGATGAATGTCATTATGTTGTACACCTAAAATGTACCAATAAAAAGATATACAAAAAAAAAAGAATTCTAACTTCATAAATTGAGACTTTTCCAAATGGTTCTTTTGTTTCAGAAAATAAAATATTTTTTCTGCCTTCTCACTTACCTGTATTGTAGTGGCCCTCAAAAGATTTAAATAGCTACAAAAATGAGGATGGAACCAACTCAGTTAAATAAATACAGTGGCAACAACAATTATTAGCACTAGGAGCAAAAAAAGACAAATGAATAAGAGTCACAATATATATTTGGGAACTTGAGTTTATTAAAAGTTTTCTCATCTTAATTTCTGAGGTTACTATACCTATAAAAGTTTGAATAAAAGTTTGGTTACTATACCTATAAAAAGTTACTATACCTATAACATGAAAAGAGTTTAAAGATCAGAGTGATTGCAAAATTGAAGACACAGCTAGAAAGGTTTACAGTATTACAGAAATCTCCTGGGCAGGGAATATGGCTTAATGGTACAGTGCCTACCTGGCAAGGACAAGGCCCTGAGTTAGATTCCCAGTAACCACCCTCCACCCCAAATCTTCTACTAATACTTTTACTTATTTCTAATGTAGAGAAATTTTTTTCTTTTCTTTCTTTTGGCCGGGTTGGGTTTTTTTAATTTTTTTTTTTTTTTTTTTTTTTTGGCACAGGGGATCAAACTTGGGACCTTGCACTTGCAAGGCAGGCAGGCAGCAGCACCACTGAGCTAAATGCCCGGCCTTGTTTTTGGATTTTGAGACAAGGTCTTGCCATGTGTTCTAGGCTGGCCTTGAACTCACTATATAGCCTACACTGGCCTCAAACTTCTGGCAATTCTCTTGCCTCAGCCTCCTGAGTGCCAGAATTACAGGCATGTGTCACCATACCCAGCTCTAATATATAGAAATTTTCAGTTCAGAGAAAATCTAACACTTTTACTAACCAAATATTTCACACAAATAAATGATTACTATGGAATTAATATTTAATCTATTGGTTTAAAATTATTCAATGATATAAGAACAAAATTCCTATATATTAGAAAATTACGTAGCACAATAAATCACCTATAATTTTAAAAAAATTTACCTGTTATAGAAGTAAGGCTCATGCAAGTGGCTGCTATTGTCACTCCCAAGACTGCTGCAGTATCCTCCAATAATATAACATTGGTACTAGGATCACGACTTTCCATTACTTAATCATAGGAGAAAAGGAAAAAAACGGAAAATTTCTGAAATGTTAACTTGATATTATCACAGGACATTTAAGTAATTATCCAATTTAAACTACAAATTTAGATTAAAATGTAGGACAGATCATAATTTTTAAAACACTGTTCAAGATAAACATAATTTCTTGGCTTAAATGTCAAATTACTTCTTCAAGTTCTATAATCATACACAGAAATACAGTAGTCCACTTAAGTCAAATCCAAATAGGATCCATATACTCGGATTGCATTACATTTCTCTTATTTATTTTTATTTATTTATTTTATATTTCTCTTTTTAAAAGTGCTGTTTTATTCATAATATACACACAGGGAAGACACTGAGATACATATTTTTGCATCCATCTATTAGGAACAGAGCAACAATGTAAAGTGTTTTTTAATAAATAAGAGAATCAATCTGGCTTCTAAAATACATACCATACTTATAAAAAGACATTCCTTTGGCCCGAGCACTCCTACGAAGTTCATTTACAGCAACAAGAAGTGTTGCTGAAAGAAAAGTATTCATATCAGCAGGAAAGAAATTTCATACTTCCAAACTTTAAAATGGAATCTCCAAAGATAAATACACATAATACTTTAATGCCATGTTGGCAATAAGGAAAAATTCTAGTCATTATCAAGACTCCAATTAATCAAAATAATAAAATGAATCCCGGGCAGAGAATTTAGCTCAGTGGTTCTGGTGCCTGCCTCACAAGCGCAAGGTCCCAAGTTCAATCCCAGGTACCAAAAAACAAACAAACAAAAATAAATAAATAAATAAAATGAATCCCATATTTCTTTCTTTTTTTTTTTTTTTGGTACCGGGGATCGAACTCAGGTTCTTGCGCTTGCGCAGCAGGTAGCGAAACCACTGAGCTAAATCCCCGTCCCCTGAATCTCGTATTTCGAAGCCATAGTCATTAAATAAAATTACTATAATGATAATACTAACTTATTGAACAGCCACTATCTGGAAGTCACCATACTCAGCACAATCATTTTTGATTCTCCCAACCTTTTGAGGCAAGTGGTATTATCACTATTTTACAGTCTATCAAAGATGAAGGGCATACATATACAATTATGATCTGTCAATTAAAATCATATTAATTTTAAAAATAGGTGAAGGACGAAACAGTCATAGGAAATTACAATGTTTAAGGGGTAAATATAGTATGAGTACAACAGTGAATTAAGCATTTTCATTTGATATTGTCATGAGAGTGCCAAAGCTAAGTATTTCAGAAATTGTGAAATGGTCTTATGGCAAAATAAGATAGCCTTCTCTCATTAACATTACTAAAACCTGATTTTTAAAAACTCCGTATAGTTATGTATGTAAGCTTCATTTCTGATGTACTCAGCATTATATGATACTCAGAATAAAACATTTTTCTCCTTCCTTCATCCATTACAGGACAACCATAGTACATTATACAAAACTTTTCTTACTAAAAGCAGACAAAGCTTAGATTCCTATCTCATGATTTCATTAAATAGAACTTAGTAAAACTATAATAATGGACTGCTCAATATATATCACTAAACTGAGAACAAGAAGTACTTTGAGATACTACGTACCTCCTTCAGATACCAATGATCCTGCTAAAATACAATATGCCTAGAAAATAAATATTAAAATACAGAATAAGTTGATTATTTCACTAAAGAATCATTATTATCCATGTATAAATTTTCTAGTATCTAAAAACAGAAACAAAATAAAACTCAAGCTATACTATAAGGATCTTGATGGGAAACAATTCAAAAGAGGACAATGAGATATGAGCACAAATATTTGAAATCTGGGCTGTGGACACCAGATGCAGTAAAGTTCCATAACCATACCCAGGGCCGGGGATTTAGCTCAATGGTTTCGCTGCCTGCTGCGCAAGCAGCAAGGACCCAAGTTCAACCCCTGGTACCAAAAAAAAAAAAAAAGATCCATAACCATACCCATGTAATTTCTGGATTTTGTTTGAATTCTCAGTTTGAAGAGAATCCTGACTCAAAGTGCTATGTAGTTATAAACAGTAATAAATTATTTCTTTTGGTATCACCACTTCCTTCCAGTCCCAGGACACTCTTTAAAGATGGCAAAAGAAGTTTTAGTTCAAGATATATAAAAGAGTTAACTTACAGACACAAAATTATTAAAAATTTCAATGAAACTCAAATCAAACATCTGTAGAATTTTCAACATACCTTTTTGAAAACTGAGGTTTTCCTGAAACAAGTTTGAAAATTTCAAACCTAACCTAACACTCTCATAATTCTGTTCTAGAAACTGAAGTCTCCAAGGTTAAGTGATGTGCCTGAGTACACGGAAATGAGACTAGAAGTAGGCTTTCCATTTCCATTCTGGGTTCTTTCCACTGAATCTTACGACCAACCTGAAATTAATAACTGCTAATATAATTAAAATAGTAGCTAAACTTCCCAGTAACTCTACATATCCTTCTACTTCATGCCTGATTTAAGACACACTTATTATCCAATAAAAGGAGAAAGCACATATTATAGCCAAGGATTCTAAAATAATACGTAAAAAACATAAATTGGTTTATGGTGTGTTGAATCCATTATTTATTTAACAAAGGGCCAGGGTCTAACAGAACCTTATTCCCTCACTCAGAAAAACAAAAACTATTAAACTTACACACAACTGAAAATTTAATCTCTAACTTCAGAGATTACTCTGCCTCCATAAAGTTATGGTACTGGATTTACAAAGTAGCCAAACCTTTTCAGAATGAAGGAATACAGGTTTATTCAATTTAGTTATATTAAATATATTATAGTAAGAAACTCACCAATAAAAACTGTAGAAAACTGGTCAACAGCAAATGTAATAGCCCTGTTCTCATGTAGGTTTGTATGATATAGTAGGGTGTTAAAAACAAGACTTGATTCTGTCCTGCTCCATGACCCAGAATAGGTTTCAGTTACTCCCACATTCCAAAATGAAGTATTAGAGCACATATTCAGGCTTTGTCCCAGCCTAGGCCTCTACCCACTACACTGCACCCTGGCTCTATATCCAGCAAACCATTTTAGAAGAGCTGGAAGTAAGGAGGCCAAAACAGGGCAATGTCAAATATGTCTAGAATTATACCATGAGTTGCAGAAGCTGCAGGTGAGTGCTATGGGACCAGTTTGTGCTTGTCAAGGGAGCTAGTCAGGGTGGCCAAGGAGTGTAATCTCCAAGAAGTGCCCAAAGAAGGAAAAGACCGCTTTAAACATCTATAAAGGACAGAGGAGAAACCAATACAAAATAAGACTGCTGTGCTAGTACTTTTTTGCTCCCGACCCAATATTGGGCACTACCTTAAGATAGAAGAGGAGGACAGAAGCCTCAGCTAGGGCAACACAGAAGGTGATCTTCCTCACCTCATTTCCACCAGACTTCCAACCTGAAGGAGGCTCGTGCTCACTTCGGCAGCACATATACCAACCTGAAGGAGGCTTCAGATCTTAAAGCAAATGCTTTACATTTAAATAGACCTCCAACTTATAAATAGTAACAAGCAACTGGATACTGTATTTTAATTACTGATATGAGACTATTCTTGGAACTAAATGAAATAGGGTTCTTTTTCTTCAGCAGTATCTAAAGAACTTAATGGAATTGCCCAAGGTTTAATCAAGGGGGTTGGGCTTAATATCTCCAGATCTTTCTTCAATATCACCAAACATACGGATTTAGAGATCATGTCCACTCATGTTCTAAAAAGCACAAGACACATACCCTAGAGTGTATAGTCAAGAAGGTTTGTCATTCCCCTTCTTTAATTCACATTTTGTTTTAAATTTAAAAGGATCTCATCAAAATCTCACGTGTGGCACGGCGCCTGCCTTGCAAGAGCAAGGTCCTGAGTTCAATCCCCAGGACCAAAAAAAACCTCATGTGTCCACAGTTATCTTTTGGAAGATAACTGGTTCATCAGGGGGTTCATATCATAAATGGATCAATCACTGATGAGTTTATAGTTGAATAGGCTATAAGAGGTAGGGCCCAGTTGGAGAATGTCACTCAGGGCAGGCCTCTGAAAAGTATATCCTGTCCCCAGCCCCTTTCCCTCTCTCTGACTCCTCCTTTCTCTCTCTGCTTAACGGCTGCCTCTCTGCTTTCCTTGTAAGGCCTTTCTGCCATGATATGTCTATCTTAAAACCAGCTGACCATTGACTGAGACCTCTGAAACCATGAGCTAAAATATATCCCTCCTCCTTTAATTTGTGTATGTCAGGAATTTTGTCCCATTAATAAAAAGATGACTAACACAATACTATTATGAGAAAGGCATTCTATAGTGCTCAATCACTATGTCATACTACTTCCAAGCTGAGGGAAAGGATAGAAAAAAAAGGATTACCCATAGAAGAGATTCCATTGGCTCAGGATGAAGCAATCCCATAATTCCATGGTACCAAGAGAGTCCTGCACCCATCATAAAAATACCAACACCGCTAATTAGTGAAGAAATATACCGCATATTTGAAAATCCATACCTAAAAAATTAAAAAATTACAATTTATAAAAATAAAAATAATTTCCTTTCAAAGTATGTGCTTAATAGGTCTATGAAAAGCAAATATTATTTAATTCAGGTATTTTCTAATTTCTATTATTTTAAGTACCAATATAATATTATTTAAGGGAGTTAAAAATATGACATACAATAAGAGAAAAAAAACACTCATTCATAAATATAATTCTTGAGAAATTTACTCCCAAACTCTATTGCACCTGTCTGGCACAGATGCAAATTCAAATAAGAATGCTTAATCAAAACTGCTCTTTGAATTTTTTTTTTGCAAAGTTGTAATTTCAGCATAGAGAATTTCCAATTTATAGATATGACAATGTTTTTATCAGTTTGATTTAGAAAATTTTACTTTCTGCTAAAGTTTACACAAATTAATAACTTAAAAGTAAATTAAGATCCAATTAAATGTTATTACTTTCATTTCACATATTTTCAAGAAATTTTCAGGTTCTGGACTGGGGATTTAGCTCAGTGGCTCCGCTGCCTGCCTTGCAAGCACAAGGACCTGAGTTCGATCCCTGGTACCAAAAAAACAACAATAAAAAAAAAAAAAAAAAAGAAAGAAATTTTCAGGTTCTTAAAGATTTTATCATGTAGATCTGTACACTGCTAAGTCACTAACCATATTTAGCAATTTAAATTAATGAAAACTAAGTATAGTTTAAAATTTAGTCACACTAGCCATATTTCCAGTATTCAACAGCCACATGTAGCCAATTGGCCATACATATATAACATACTGGACAAAAATAAAATATTTTCATTATTGAAGAAAATTCTCTTGGGCAGTACTTAAGTAGACTATTGAAAATGCCTTAAGAGAAAAACCTTTACAACCTAAAATTTTAAAATTTTAGCCTCTATCTTAAAATTCTTGGTAGATAAAACTGGTCAGGAAAATCATTTTTCCTCTAGTAATATTAAAACACTATAATGATGTATAATTACCAAACTAGAGAACTAAGTATTTCCTATAATACAAGCTTACTGATAATTACAAGTCACTCAAAATATATTTTTATTTATTTATAGCAAGAGAACCTTCCTATCAAGAAAGGTATTTATAGGGCCAGGGATTTAGCTCAGTGGTTCCGCTGCCTGCCTCACAAGCTCAAGGACCCGAGTTCAATGCCCGGTACCAAAAACAAAAGAAGAAAGGTATTTATAAAACAGAGAGATGAACACCTTCACAGAAATAAAAATGCACTTTTTCACCTTACAATTGATCAAATTCTTTTAATGAAGCTAGTTAAATAATGATGCATGTAAATTCAAACATTTTAGATGGCTATTAGTAGAAGCTAAAGAAAAAACTCCTTTCAAATCATTGACTAGATTCAGAGTGATATATTCTAAAAAGTATATTCATTTTACAAATACATATTTTGAAATATAAATAGAATATTATTTCTAAATCACAATAAAAAGATTTAAAATAAGTATATATTTAATAAAAATTATCACCAAAATTTTAGATTTGATAGCTTATTAGTCTAAACCTGAAACATGTTTCCCTGGACCAAAATAAAAACTCTAAGATCAAAATATGTGCTTTGTTATTAATTATCCAATATGGATAAGACAAGATCTCTATGCTGTGTACAAAGCATAAAAGTAATTTAAACTCCATTTTCGAATAATATATTGAATTTACTTTGACACAGTAGTGAGTCCTGCATATTACATACTACAGTAAAAATAAATGACCAAGTCTTTCACAAACTGCAATATAAAAATTGCAGATTTCCGAAATTCAGTTGCTTTTACTTCAATGACTCATTGCTAAAACAAACAAAAATAAAAGCAATAATATCCTTACGGATGAGTAGGATCTGGTGTTTGAACAGATTTACTGATGCCCAATGCTAGTAAACCCTATGGAGAGAAAGGAAAAAGATAAATATTCATTAGTAGCATAAAGGGTATAATACGATTAAGCCCATTTAGAGGGTGCAAGCTAATAATAACAGATGCATGTCCAAAGGCCCAGCAATTCTGGTTTCCAGTTCTTAGAAAAATAAAGATGGACTCAAGGGGGTTCAAAGAAACACTGTTGATGAAGATGAAACACGTGAAAGTAATCTAAAAATCCATTAGTTGGGAAGAGCCAAAAAAATGATAAACCATACATTATTTCTACAGTAATTTAAAAGAATGAGATTAGAGCTTTCTGTACTTACATGGAAAAAGTTCCTGGATGTACAATTAGATGGGATGGGGCAGAAAACCAAGATAGGGACTATACATACAGTATAGAACAACTTACATTTTGTAGTTTTTGCAAACTATAATATAAAGTTCTGAAAGAACACAAGTTTATATTTATAACTCTGAGGAAAGAAGTTTGATTAGGGTAGTCTGTATTATCTGATGTTTCATGAGAAGAGTAACCTGTATAGCTGTACAAACAGTAAAAAGTTTAAACAGTATGTGTTATACATGGACACATACATTTCTAATAAAACTGTAAAACCATAAATCAATGTATACATTGCAGTGATTATGTATGAAGTGGAAGGAAGTGAACAAAGAAAAACTTGTCATAACTAAGATTTTATCTCTTGGTTGGGGATGTAGTTCAGTGATATAATGCTTGCATAGCATGTGTAAGGATCTAGGAATGATTGCCAGCACACTCCCTGCCTTCCCAAAAAGACTGTATTTCTTTTAAAAAATCTAACATAAATACAGCAAATTGCTAACATGCATATTCGGAATTATCAGATTCCCACACCTTCTTTTTTTTCTCACTTGCCTTCATCTTTTAATTTCTAAAGTTTATAACCTTTGTTAAAGAGTTATCCACTATAACCTCTCAATATTAGTATGCCTGCTCCTAATAAATCCTTGCTATCCTAATGTAGAAAGCTATTTTTAAAAACTAGCAAGACTACAAAGGCTCTGAATGAATTCCCTATGTGATTTTATTAATCAGGAGCTTTTCCGTTTATTCATCATGGTACCAAATAATCAGAGAAATAATGCTTCTGGATAGATATCTGATGCTAAATATGTGCACTATGACAAAATTTTGTTTTTGTATTGGACTACAAAGGGGATAAACTACCTAAAGCATAGATGATAACTTTTCAGTAAATTAAACCAAGAGAATAAGAGTAAATTAAAGGAACATATATCACTGTTGTAAGTCTATACACTAAAAGTCATTAACTCACATTATGTGTGCATATATATATACTTATATATATACTTATATATATGTTCATAGTATTTATGAACTATTCAATGAGTATTCAATTATTTCTAAAATCCATAATATTCGGGTTTGGTGTATAATAAAGTCTGGAATAACATCAACTGTTTTATAAATTGAACACAAATACATTTATTAATTCTTATAAAAATCAGACATCACTGCTCATTCTTTATTTTGTTCTCCCAAAGAGACAGGGGAGAATCAAATCATGTTTGATATGCATCCTGCCACTCTTTCCTGCAGTTATAATACACACACACAGGTAATTCATATTTAACCTATACAACATCTATTTGGTTTGTAAAGTAATGACAATTTACTATATAATGGTATAATGGCTAAGAAGCATTATCAGTGCTCCCTGCTCCATGATCAAACCTTCCCTTTCCTGGAATTCCTTTTGCACCATACTGTCACACAGCTGTTTAAATGCAGCCTCCGCAGATCTTACTAGTTATTTCATGTGTGTAGGACCTGCTTACAAGACACTGAAAGGACTGGGTCTTCAAACACTCAAAACATCACAAACTCAGGTGCACAATAAATTCATGAGTCAATATTAAATATTATAGATTTTAAAAGAAAGTTTTCAAAATGACACTAGTACAATTTCCATCTACTTAATGAGACCCAGTTAAAATCTTCATCAAAGCCTTTTTGAAAACTCTAAGACATATTCTTCATTCAAGAATTCTCAAAGCAGCTTGGTGTGGTGGGATGCCTATTATTCCAGCACCCTGAGAGGTTGAAGCAGGAGGATAGCAAGTCTGAGCCCAGGCTGGGCAACTCAGCAATACATCATCTCACAATAAAATATAAAATCAAGAATCAAGATGTTATAGGGGCCGCGATTTAGCTCAGTGGTTCCACCGCCTGCTCACAAGCGCAAGGTCCCGAGTTTGATTCCCAGTACCAAAAAAAAAAAAAGATGTTACATGCATGTACCCACTCCCTAAGATGAATGTAAACTTCATGTATGGTAAACATGTATTTAAAAAAAAAAGTTAAAAAGCAATAGGGTTGGGGATAAACTCAGGGCAAAGGCCCTGGGTTCAATCCCTAGTATGAAAACAAAAAAAGGTCTCAAAGCTCCTGATACTAGTCTCAAGCTTTTATTTACCTCTTGTGTTATGTTAAATTCTTTATAAAAATTCATTGTTATAAAATTAACAGAAAATTGTAAAGAAATTTAAGTGGTATGGAAAGTGGACAATTCAAGAACACAGAGTATATGCAGACCATCTTCATACAGTTTTTAATGTTACTTTTTGAGCATGTTTGTGCCAGATTTCAGAAAGTGGGTGTGCATGCTTAAAAATATGATTACAGCCACACCAATTAGACAAGAGAAAGAAATAAAAAGAATAAAATAGGGAAGGAAGAAGTTAAACTGTCATTATTTGCTGATTATATGATACTCTACATAGAAGACCCAAAAAACTCTGCCAAGAGACTTCTAGACTTAATTGACAGACTCAGTAGAGTAGCTGGATACAAGGTCAACACTCAAAAATCAATAGCCTTCTTGTACACAAATAACAAACTCACTGACAGAGAAATTAGGGAAACAATCCCTTTCACAATAGCATCCAAAAAATGAAATATTTAGGAATCAATCTAATGAAGGAAGCAAAAGAACTCTACATTGAGAACTACAGCACTCTGAAAAAAAGAGATTGAACAGGATATAAGAAAATGGAAAGACATCCCCTGTTCCTGGGTAGGAAGAACCAATATAGTGAAAATGGCCATACTTCTAAAACTGCTATACAGATTCAATCCAATCCTGATTAAAATCCCAACAATATATTTCACAGAACTAGAGAAAACAATCCAAAAGTTCATCTAGAACCAGAAGAGACCTAGAATAGCAAAAGCAATTCTAGGCAACAGAGTCATGGCAGGGGATATCACAATTCCCAACTTGCAACTGTACTACAAAGCCACTGTGATAAAAACAGCATGGTACTGGCAAAGAAATAGACCCGAGGATCAGTGGAATAGACTAGAAGATGCAGACACAATTCCAGACATACTCAGCTACCTCATCTTTGACAAAGGAGCCAACCATCCTCACTGTAGGAAAGATAGCCTCTTTAATAAATGGTGTTGGAAAAACTGGATTTCAACTTGCCAAAGATTAAAACTAGACCCCTATCTTTCACCATGCACTAAACTAAAATCCAAGTAGATTAAAGATCTAAATATTAAAACAGAAACACTAAACTTGCTCGAAGTTAGGTAAAACTCTCAAAGACACTGGCATAGGAAAAGACTTTATGAACAAATCCTTGGTAGCACGGGAACTAGCAGAAAGAATCAACTGGGATCTCACCTTATTAAAAAGCTTCTGCACTGCAAAAGAAACCACCAATGGAGCTAAAAGATAACCTACAATGTGGGAAAAAAATTTTACCAGCTGTTCCTCAGACAAAAGTCTACTATCTAGAAGATAAAGAACTCAAAAAATCAGCCCCCCAAATATAAAGACCCAATTCAAAAATGGGCATCTGAAATAAACAGACATTTCTCAGACAAAGAAGTAAAAGCAGCAAATAAACATATGAAAAAATGTTCAACATCACTGGTCATTTGAGAGATGCAGATGAAAACAACACTGAGATTCCACCTCATCCCAGAAAGAGTGGCTGTTATCAAGAAATCAACCAATAACAAATGCTGACGGGGTTGTTGGGAGAAAGGAACCCTTCTTCATTGTTAGTGGGTGTGCAGACTGGTGCAATCACTGTGGAAATCCGTATGGAGATACCTCAAACAACTAGGATTAGAAGTTTCATTTGACCCAGCTAATTACCTGCTGGGTATCTTCCCCAAAGAATTAAAAGAATCATACCACAGTGATATATGCTCAACCATTTTTATAGCGGCACACAGTTTGTAATAGCTAAAACTTGGAAACAGCCCAATTGCCCATCAACTGGAGACTGGATAAAGATGTGGTTTTTTAATAAAATGGAGTACTACTCAGCCATAAAGAACAAGAAACTAGAGACATTTATAGCTAAGTGAATTCACATTGAGGCCATACTCTTAAGTGAAATAAATAGGATATACATGTGTAAATACCAAATAGTTTCTCTGGTGTGAAAAACTAAAAGTGTAAATAAGGATAAAATGTATAATTGATATTTTGAAATAGGAAGAAAAGGTCTAAAGGAATAGGGAAAATGGGAGGGATGGGGAAAGTAAAGAAGGGAAAAGAAAAGACATGACAGAAGGAAAAAAATGGAAACAAATTATTTGTAAATAGGGAAGGGTGGAGGGGGTGAAGGGAGGGCCAGGAATGGGGAAAAAATGAGAAGCAAGATACATCATGTACAGGTACAAACACCCAGTGATAAATGTAAATGAACTGTATACCTAAAATGTACCAATAAAAGAACTTAATAAAAAACAATGATCACAATCTACATAATGTCTTTTTGTACTTTATTTTATTGGAATTTTCTGACATACAGACAGATGAATAGACAGAGCAGTTCAAAAACCTTATAGGACTTTTCAATAAACTCAACTCATCTATCACTGAACTTCAACATTTATAAATACATGACCAAATCTCCTTTATCCAAGCCATCTCTAGACCTTCATATGTATTTTGAAGTAAATTCCAAACATGCTACGGTTTCAACTTTAAATCTTAAAAAAACTAAGCCTTCCAGAAAATAAAGTCACAAGATTATTTTCATACTACTAAAATATCAATATCAATCCTAGTATTAATATCAAATCAGTAATGGACAGTTCCACACAGAAAATTTTTATTTTTTAGGTAAAATTTACATACAATGAAATGCACCAATTCTAAATATACAGTTTGTTGTTGTTGTTTTGCAGTATTGGGGATTGAACTCAGAACCTTCCCATTGAGCCATATCCCCTAATCTTTTCTAAAATTTTGAGACAACATCTCACTAAACTGGTAAGTTGCCCAGGCTGGACTTGAACTTGTGATTCTCCTGCTTCAGCTGCCCAGAGCTCTGGTATTACAGGTATGCGCTACCACACCTGGCACCAAATATACAGATCTTTGAGTTTTACAAATGCATGCATCCCATAACATATTCCTATCAAGACAGAAGGTTTCCATCAACCCAAAAAGTTCCTTTGTGCCTTTTTTCAATTACTTTTATCAGAAGCAATCATTTTACTGATTTTCTTTCAATCAAAGATTAAAGTTGAAATTATAACACAAGTATTTTTTTGTGTTCACCTTCCTTCAGTATATTTCTAAAGATGCATATATGTTACTAACTGGGTAAGTAGTTAATTTCTTTATGTCAGATAAGATTCCACTGAATGATTATATCATAACGTGTTTATTCATTTCACTGTTGATGGGCACTGGGTTTATTCTACTTTTCTGGACACTGTAAATAAAGTCGCTATAAATATTCTTTTTTTGTTGACATTCATTGCATTTCTTGAGTAAATACTTAGGAGTAAAACTGCTAGGTCACAGAAGAAGCATGTTTGACAAATATTTTCAAAGAATGGACCATTTTACCCTGTGCCCACCATGTCTAAGAGATCTGGTGGCTTCCCATCTTCACCAACATTTGGCTTTCAGGCTTTAGTTGCTATAGAAGATGTATAGAGATTTCTTGAGTTTTAATATATATTTCCTCCTCATAACTATCAGTGTTAACATTTTTCATGCACCCAGTGGTCACCATTCATGTTTGCTTACTTGTGAAATACCTGCTAAAATCTTTAACCTAAAAAAACCCAAAAAACCTGAGTTGTCTTTTTATTACGGAGTTGTAATCGTTATTTTGTACACCACCCTTTGTCAGATATATGCCTTGTGATTATTTTCTCCTTGCCTCTATTTTCTTAAGGGTGCCTTTTTTAGACAGGATCTCATTAATTTGTTAAGTTGCCCACGCTAGGTTCAAACTTTGAATCCTCCAGCCTCAGCTTCCCAGAGTGAAGGTTATCTTTTAATAAGCAAAAGTTTCAAATTTTGATGAAGTTTAATTTGGAAACTTTGTTTTTCTGTTTCTTATTCACAAAATGTTTCTACCCAAGGATCTAAAAGGTATATTCCTACATTTTCATTTAGAATCTTCATAATTTTATTTTTCACATTTGGGCCTACGAGCCACTACAAATTTGTATACAGTGTGAGGTGAGGATCAATGCTCCCAATTTTTCCATATGATAGCTCTTCTTCTCTGTTCCATTTGTCTTTATCATTTTTTTTTTGGTACTGGGGATCCAACTCAGGACCTTCCACTTTCGAGGTAGGTGGTGGCACCACTGAGCTAAATCCCCAGCCCCTAGTCTTTATCAATTCTTATACCTCATCATCCGAATATAAATTTTTAAGTCCGGAAGTCCTCATTATGTTGTTTCATTTCAATGCAAAAATGTAGCTGTGATACCCTTATTTGATAATTCTATCATCTGTCAGTTGTGTTTTATTGACTGATCTTTCTCCTGGTTGAGTCAAATTTTCCTGCTCCTTCGACTGTCTAGTACCATTTTTTTAAATTGGATAACAAACATTATGAATGTTGAATTGAATGTTTAGATTTCACTGTCTTCCTTAAAAAGCGTGGGGTGGTGTTCTGGATTGTTTACAAGTTTTTTGTTTGTTTTATTTTATTGTATGATAAACACTGTGACTGTACAGAGTGTTTGGATTTTGTCTTCTTTAAAGAATACAGAGTTTTCTTCTGGAATGTAAATTACTTGCATATCAGCTTGATCTTTTGGAGCTTAAAGAGAGGTCTATTAGGAAGGGTTCTAGAATAGTCTTTATGTTAAGACAATTTAGCTCTACTACTAAGATATTAACCCTTTGTTGACTTGAGTATCAGTGAATACTCTCTTATCTCATTTGGTCAGAACCTGAATGTACTCCAGCTCTGTCTGTGTGAGCTCTAAAAATCAGTCGGCTTATTGCTCCCTGGTAGTTCTCTGCCTAAACTAATATCCATACCTTGCACATGTGTAATTCAGCATTCGACAAAGACTCAACTCAAGGGAATCCCTACATAGACTTCCAGGTTTTTATCTATGTAGCTCCTTCCTCTATGGAATGCTGCCTGGAAATTTTTAGCCACTTTCAGACTATCTGAACTGTGATCTGTCTTTTCAACCAAATGAGACTATTAGCTCTCATCTGGCTCCACTACTCCAAATGTGTCTCCAAGCAATAGGCCAGAGAGACCATAGACATCAAATATGTTATTTCCCATCTTTCAGGGATCATGGTCTTATGCTGCTGTCATTTAGTGCTTGAAACGTTATTTTATAAAGTCCATCTAGATATTTTACTGTTTTTACACAGGAAAAACCTAAATCCAGTCTATCATGACTGAAAGAATAAGAACCTGACTTTTTATTCAATTTATCATGGTTATTATTCTAGTTTATGGCTATGTACCACATTCTTTTAAATGTATGAATAATATTTCAGAGAATGGAAACTTAAAAATCACTCTTCAATGTTTTAAATAACAACGTTTAAACTAGTAACCTTATATACCTTTCCTCAGCCACATGTACAAATACTTCTGCATGTCAATTTTCCTATCTTTGGATAAGCTGTTGAGAAAATTATTATGTTGATGTGTCTCTCCTCACTCCCTCTCCTCCTACCTCATACCATGACTGGCTGCCAAAATGTTATAGAGATAGTTATTAAGTATTGTTAAGTATAAAAATTAAATTCAAGGTAAATATTCTTAGTACTAATGGCAAATGCTTATCATCTTACTTTTACAAAGGGCTTTAATCCATTTGACAAAGACTTGCACGAGTTATTCTCCTTGCTCCTTATAATTTTATTGAACCTCGTCTTAAATATTTTTTAATTTTTTAATTGGCAGTCCTGGAAATCAAGGGTAAGGATTTCTGCATGCTAGGCCAGCACTCTACCACTGAGCTATGGTCCCGAGTTTGATCACCGGTACCCAAAAAAAAAAAAAAAAGAAATGATATATAAGTATTCTGTTAAAAGGCTTGGGTTTATAGTATTTACAATTTGGACTAAAGGTAGTTTAAAATATATTTTAATTTTGAAGAAACTTTTTTCATTTGCAAACTCAAGGAAAATAATTCATCTAGTCTAACATGAAGGCATTTCAAACAATCACATTATTATTTCATCTTTATTTTTTTAAAAACTTTAATTTATTGGGTCTTACAGTCTTTAGGAATTTAAACATAGATATCAAATTTCTACTCAATTTAAGTATCTTGTCCAAAAATCTTACAAGTAAACACTTAGTAACTGATAAGCTTACACTTCACATGCCATCACTGCAAGCTCTTAAAGCATAACAACCTGTTTTAAAATACTAAGATCCCTCAGCATCACTGGGGAATTAATTCCAGGACTCCTAGAGAATATTAAAATCCTTGGATGTTCAAGTTCCTTATATAAAGTATAGTATTTGCATAAGTTACAAACATCCTTTTATATTTTAAATCATCTCTACATTACTTATCATGGCTAATACATGTAAATGCTATGTATATAGCTGTTAAGGTATATTATTTAGAGAATAATAACAAGGAAAAGTCTATACGTGTCCAGTAGACACAATTTTCTGAATATTTTCAATACATAATTTGTGAAATCTGAGGATGCTGAACTCATAAATATGGAACCCACAGATATGGAAGGTCAACTGTATTCAATTACTCAAAGTAAAACAACTTACATTTTCTTCCATAAGCCAAATTCATTTAGTTTTTTGTTGTTTAAAGACAGGATCTTGCTATGTGGCTCAGTCCTTCAGCTTCTCAAGTGCTGGGTGACAACACATCTAGTTTTTATTTACTTTTTAAATAGACCAACTTTTAAACTAAAGCCTAAAAGAATTACTTTAAAATTATTTTTAAAAGCTTTAACTTCTCACCTGATTGCAAGTATCAGATAATGAGTGTATAGCTTCTGAAAACATACTTGCTGAACCCGTATAAATCCATGCAAGAAATTTAAAGAAGCAGTTTAAACCATTGCTGTGAAAGAAAAAGAATAATTTAGCATATGTTTGGACTAAAATTTCCACCAAAAACTTAACTGATTTTATACACTGCTAACCAGATTCTATTCTATTCTATTAAAGGCAAATTAAAAAGAACTTAATACTGTTCAGGTAACAAGAGTACAAATTTGGAAAATACATATTATAATACCATGAAGTACTTAAACGAAGAGGCATGCTATGTGCAAGCAAATTAGTTAAGTATACTTTGAAAAAGGGTAAGAAAAGAGGGTTTTCTACATTTGGATATGATGATTTAAAAGAAAAATCTGAAATTTAAGTAGGTGAAAGAGGATCTTGCCACTGTCCAGTACAGGGGTGTCAAAGGCAGACTTCAGTGCGTATTTGTCTGCTTAACCAGCCAGATGCCAGAGGTGAGGGCAAACCTAGACCAAACAGGTTCATAGTCTTACCCAAAGACTAAAATAAATCTGGTTGGCTCAGAGAAAGCTGTCTGCTTAGATCCAGTGCTGACCAGCATGACGGATCCCCTGTGCTATGCTGGTCACTTGCCATGTTATAGTGTAGCTCTCTCATCTAATATTAACACCCCTTCTATGGATAAAGAAACTATGCTATTATAGCTCTCCAAATGCAGTAATTCCTTAAAAAATTATATCTATTCTAGTACTCTCAGTTTTCTTCACTTGGTACTAACTCTTCTATCCATTAAACACCTTCTGCCTTCAATACTCTATTAGACTTCTTATCACTACCACCAACTATGCTTTGTTATTAAATTCTTGTTAACATTTCCAGGCATGGTGCCATAAGGCCTGTAATTCCAACACACTGCGAGACTGAGTAAGATGGACGGCAACTTCAAGCTCAGACTAAGGAATTTAGCCAGACCCTGTCTCAAACTAAAAATGGGGTATAGGTCAGTGCAAAGACCCTGGGTTCAATCCACAGTACCATTTCCCCTGAAAAAAAGGACTTCTATTGGGCTGGTCAGTGATAGAGCCTGTGCTTAGCATGTGAGAGGGCCTGTGTTCAAGCCTGGAAAAAGAAATAAACAAATAAATATAAAAAAGAGTTTTACCACTCCAATGAAAGTAAGAGAGGATTTTCAGGTAGTAAATTCAATATTAACTACATCAAAAACAGAGCACAAGGGGTTCGGGGATTTAGCTCAGTGGTTCCGCCACCTGCCTCACAAGCACAAGGTCCCAAGATCGATCCCAGGTACGAAAAAAAAAAAGGCACAAGGATAAGTGTCTGTATCCACTTGGACCCTTCTCCTATCACGTTACTGACAATAATACAGACTTTCCAATAGCTAGCTACTAAGTAGTAAATTTATATATTTGGATATATAAATTTAAAAGAATATATTTCTATTTTTAAAAGCCTATTTTTTAGTACTTACATGCAAATGGCAACCATCACCACTTTTCCTGGTCCCTTGAAGAACACTGTTGCTGTTCTGGAGCGTGGCTGCAAAAACAAAACAAAAAACAAAACAAAACAAAAAACCTGTAAATTCTCTCAGAGAAGTACTGTGATTAGTGCCTCTAACACACCAGAAAATTTCTCCTCTATCAAAATCTCTGAATAAGTAGGCTTACTTATTAATTCTTTTTCTCCAGGAGGTTCTTAAAAAAGTAAACAAACTGACATTGTAAATGAATCAGGGTACTTCTCCAGGATCTTGTTTATTTTTTTTCCTTTTAATTCATGTCCTGCCTACTTCCAGAAACAATCCCAGTCTACAGAGAAACTCGTAATAAACTAATGCAAATATATTGACCTGAGATCCATATATGGTAAACACTTTCCATTTCTTGAGCAACTTCTTTCTTTTAAAAAAGGAACAGCCAAAGCCAACAAATTTACTGCTTGAACTTACCTCTTGAGTGTTCTCTCAAGACAGAAGACCTCAAGTGAAAGTATCGTGTTTAATTGCAATACAGACCAAAACAAAGGGAACAGAGCAAGTAAAGAAACATTCAGGGGAAATATTTTCCTGAGCTAAATCTTCTTTTGTATATTTCCTATTTTTCTGATACTTTTTCCTCTACTGGAATTCTATCAACTTCCACCACAATCTAAGTTTTAACCATTCTCTCCCATATCTGACTTAGTGTCACCTTTCTATAGAAAGCCTTCCCTGATCACCTACACAGAAATAAATACTCTGTTGTCAAATGATTCTGTCATGTCATTTATCCAGGAAATACTTATTATGCAACTACTACATGCCTGGTATAGTAGAGGATGCTAGAGTATGATAGTAAGTAAGATGGAGTCATTCCCTTCAGAGATCTCATATTCTAGTCCAGTAGGACAGAATAAATCCATAGACAAATGCCTAACATCAGACAGTGATGAATATAATAAAGAAAATAAAAGAACAGAGTATGAGAGAAAAATGAGAGGAGGGGTAGTGGTGGGGATGGGAAGAGTTATTTTAGCTACTGTAGTTATAAAAGAGGTTCAATGATGAAAAGCAGGTAATCGTGAAAAGATCTAGAAGAAAAATATTTGAGACAGAGTATGGAGCAAGTTCAAAGACTCTGGAACAAAAATAAGCTTGGTTTATACAAAGGGCAAAAGTAAGGCCAGTGTGGTTAAAGTAGAGAACAAGGAAACTGACAGGAGTTGAACCCAGGCAGACAGGCAACGGGTATATTCCACAGGATCTTGCAGACCATAATAAACATTTTAAATTTTTATTGTGATGGCAAAAAAGAAGCCATTGGGTAATTTTAAGAAGAGCCTTGACATAGTCTTATTTATGTAAAAAAGATACAGTTTATGACATGCAGAAAAAGCAAAAGGTAGTGAGATTAAGTAGGCTATTCCACACAAGAAATGATAAAGACTTGGTTATTGCTAAGTTAACACAGCTCATGTCAACTCTGTTCCTGTAGGCAGGCCATGTTAGGTCTTGAATAGCAGGAATGAACCTCAATGAAAGTAGGGGCCCTTTAGACGAGCTTAACTTAAACCCCAATTCTATAGATCCAACTTGACCTGATACTGCACAGAAAGCTGAGGTGAGATTCCATTTCTCGCATTAAGAAAGCAAAATAGATTCTTTTAGCCTTGGGGGGGGGGGCGGTGCTTCAACAGTGATTTTCAGCCAGCTCTGCAAGTCAGGGTTTTAAAGAATAATTTATCAATTCCCTATGGACAACAAAGCAAAAAGTGAACTTTTAGCTTTAAAGGCCATGTTTTGAAAAGTAGTGTGAAGTCAGGTGCCCCCAGTTCTCTAGTGAAGTGCCTTCAGGGCTAAGAGAAGAAATTACCCAAGAACAAATCTTGTCTATATAGTTTCAACTTGTAGTTAGATTTGTAAGCCACAAACTAAGCAAGGTCTAGATTTCTGACTTTTACTGTTCACTGACAAATACAGAGCCAAGTGTGTTTTATTTTAATGAGAATATACTATATCTTTTGGTTAAAAAGAGAAGGGAACTGTAAAAAATGAATACAAATCAGAGTGGTGCATATATTTGTAACCCCAGCCAAGTGCATATATTTGTAACCCCAGCCAACTCAGGGGGCTGAGGCAAGAGAATCATGAATTTGAGGCCAGCATGGGCAGTTTGGCAAGACCCTGTCAGAAAAAATGAAGTCTGTACACAAATAACAAACTCACCGAGAAATTAAGGAAACCACATCTTTCACAATAGCATCCAAAAAAATGAAATTCCTAGGAAATCAATCTAAAGAAGTAAAAGATCTCATATAGAAAACTACAGTCCTCTGAAAAAGGAGATGGAAGAGGATATCAGAAAATGGAAAGCTATCCCTTGTTTCTTGGGTAGGAAGAACCAATATAATGAAAATGGCCATACTTCCAAAGTTGTTATACAGATTTAATGCAATCCCGATCAAATTACCAATAGCATACCTCACAGAATTAGAGAAAACAATTCTAAAATTCATTTGGAACTAGAAGAATAGGAAAAGCAATTCTGGGCAACAAAGGCAAGGCAGGAGGCATCACAATCCCTAACTTGAAATTATACTACAAAGCATGGTACTGGCAAAACAACAACAAAACAGACCCAAGGATCAATGGAACATATTAGAAGACACAGAAACAACTCCAAACACACTTAGCCACCTTATTTTTTTTTTCCATTGGTTGATGATGGGCATTTGAGTTGTGAGCCACCTTATTTTGACATAGGGGCCAACACTCACTGGAAGAAAGACAGCCTCTTTAATAAATGGTGCTGGGAAAACTGGCTTTCCATGTACTGAAGATTAAACCAAGACCCATATCTCTCACCATGCACTAAACTAGAATAGAAATGAATCAAAGATCTAAATATTAAAACAAATACTAAGTCTGCTGGAAGACAGAATAGGTAGAACTCTTGAAGACAAAAACGCTGGTGATTACTAAAACTGGATATTCCTGTATGCTTTATATTTCTGTATACATGTGAAAATTTTCACAAGTTTCTTTCATATTGGCATACATAAAGAAAATTAGGACAGATTTTAGGGAGGACTACCAGAAAAAGCAGCATCAATTACACACAGCACTGTTGGTTCATTTCAAGGTGAGACTATTAGTATATTAAGTGTAGACAAAGATCCTTCAGTGTTCTGAGGGACAATCCTAAGGGAAGATACAAGAAACTAGAATATATTGAAGGGAAAATGTATTAAAAGGAGATTATTGAAGGTTAACTATTCCTCTGAAGACAGAATGCTTTTGGCAGAGTCAAGACATTGTGACTTCATATATCTCACTACTGAAGAGCCTATGACACAGAACACAATGGAAAAAGTGTCTGGTTCAGAAATAAGAAAACGTAAAGCATTTAATTCCAGCAAATGGCACTAGCCCTTGTATATTTTAGAGAAGGAAAGCGACCACCTTCAGTGTAAAAGTATACCTAAAGTGAACAGAGGAATAGCAGTGGAAAATGAAATACTAATTTTACCCAATTATTACACAGAAGGGAGGGATAACAGAAATTCTATTCAAAACCTGGAATATTCAAAAGCTGTACAAAGTCTTCAAAAGGCCTCTAGTGACAGACTTCAGAAGTTAACAGGCACTTCTAAAAAATCTGAGGATGATTGTCCATGCTTAACAGATGTAAGGATAAGGCGTCACTTCACAAGGGGCAGGGGTCACCGGCCTAAGTTATTCCACAAAAGAGAAGCAGTGGCAGAAGCCTTTATAGCACAAGAGTGGCAATGTAGGCTCACAAGCTATATGAAGGCTCTACCACTGAAGAAAGTTCATACTTTCAGTGCAGCACTGGAATGCCAGAAAGACAGGGCTTAAAGGGGAAACAGAAATAAACAGGCTTTGAATTAAGAAAAGAGGGAAGAAAAGCATATCGAATAAGATTTAATGAAGTTCTCCTTGTTGCCAAATTCTAAACTTTGCAAAAAGAGAACAGTGTCTCAAACGACACTCAGAGAGAGGACAATTAGGTACATATGTAGCCTTTTCCTCAGTTTCGGAATTACCTTCTTGGTATGAGATCTTTCTTGGCTAAATTTAAATAAAAGGTCAATTCTAGACACAAACTTCTTGGTATCTTGCAGATGTTGGTCACTTGCTATCAGCCATTTTGGTGATGTGGCGGGATTAAAGTCCAAGTGGATTTGGTTCAGGAGAGAAGAGGATATAGGATTATAAAGGCAAACTTTCTCTATCTGTCCCAGCATATTAATTCCTTCTCTTAGGTTACACAGCATAGTATTTTGGCACATGTGTAGATAAGTCATTAAATTTGGTGATGAGAAAAAGGAGTACTTTTATCAAATTACAGGATGTTCTTTGATTTATGATGGGGCTAGGGCCTGATAAACTCACAAAAAGTTTAAAATATCATTAAGTCAAAAATATGATTAGAATACCTAATCTACTGAACATCACAGCTAGGCCTAGCTTACCTTAAATGTATTCAGAATATTTTTATCAGTTGGACAAAATTATCTAAGTCTATTTTATAATGAAGTGTTGAATATCTCACTTAATACTACACTGAAAAAGCAATGGTCAATGTACCATCATAAAGTCAATAAACTGTAAATCCAATTTCAAGCCAGAGATCATTGATACATTTATTTTTTTCAATAGAAGAGGAGATATAAGGTCAACAACTAAAGAGTAAAGAGTGAGAGAGTATGAAGTTTGAGAAGAGAAGTATATACAATAGTTATTCCACATAGTGGGAAGGTAAGACTGTCAAATGACACTCAGTGTACACTGATTTTGCACAAAGAATAAAGGAAGAACAATCAAACTGGCTGGGTAATTTTCTCCTCCAAAGGCTGAACTTCTGGAGCAAAAGTCTGAAGGTTAGGAGTAGGAGAGAAGACAAAAGAAAGTAAGAGTGTATGTGAGAGATAGAAATCTTAAAACTTAAGAAAATAGTCATTTTTGTCTATATCTACATGCTTAAAAATGTTAAATTTAAAATTTTTTTTTAATTTCAAGAAAGTCAGAAAAAAATTGATAGTAAATCAGTATATTACAATGTACTCAGTAAAATCTTGCATTATTATCACAAACATGTTAGAATTATGCTATGGACTGGTATTAGGATTTTGCTGTGCAACATAGACTCTATTAGAAAGATATCCTTACCTTGGTGTTTCCCAAGAAATCTCTATATTCTCTCAATATTTTTTGGTTTCTAAACAGCCCTATAAGAATTAGAAAATAAAGTTAAGTCAACATATTCTTCAGTTTAGATTAACACAACTATTCTCTTTATGTAAAATATACTTTACTAGCTACTAGCAAAAATACCAAGTTATAAGAAATTGAGATTTACAACCTGATTAAAAACTGGGTGAAAAGGGCTGGGGATTTAGCTCAGTGGTTCTGGCGCCTGCCTCACAAGTGCAAGGTCCCGAGTTCAATCCCCAGTACCAAAAAAATAAACCACACACAAAAATTGGGTAAAAGATGTCAGTAGACATTTCTCCAAAGATGTATGCAAACAGCCAATAGTATATAAAAGATAGTGAGGGGCCAGGGATTTAGCTCAGTGGTTTCATCACCTGCCCCAAAAGTGCAAGGACCTGAGTTTGATCCCCAGTACCAAAAACAAAAAAAAAAGAAAGATAGTGAATATCACTGATCATCAGAAAAACACAAATGAAAACCACAATGAGATATTATCTCATATTCATTAAGAAGGCAGGGGAAGGAAGGGGAAGAGTTGGAGTAAGCAAACCAAAAAATAACAAGTACAGGCAAGAACAAGAAACTGGAGCCCTTATATATTATTGGTAGGAATGTAAAACAGTGAAACTGTTCTGGAAAACATAAAATTTCCTCAAAAAATTAAAAATAAAATTATCATATAATCCAGCAATCCCACATCCAAAAGAATATTAAGTAGGGCCTCAAAAAGTTATTTGCACACCTATGTTCAAAACGGTATACTACTCACAGCTGTCCAAAGGAGAAGCAACCCATCTATTCATGGATGGATGAATGGATCAAGAATATGTGGCATATACATACATACAGTGGGTTATTAGCTAGTGTTAAAAAAGGAAGTAAATGTCACATGCTACAAAATGAATGAACTTTAAGAACATTATGCAAAGTGAAATAAACCAGCCACAAAAGGGCAAAATACTATATTTTCCATTTATGTGAGGTATCCAGTCAAATTCATAAACACAGAAAGTAGAATGATGGCTGTCAGGGGGTTGGGGAGAGTTTATGGGGTAGTTGTTTAATGAGTGCAGAGTTTCAGTTTTGCAAGATAAAAAGTTCTGGAGATATTTCAAAACAGTGTAAACATATTCAATATATTCTTCTGAACTGGACATTTAAGAAGAGTTAAGGTGATAACTTTTATGTTATGTGGTGTTTATTAACCACAATAAAAAAAAGGGAGGTTATGAAGTCTCTGAATTTGCAATAAGATGAAGGCAGTTTGATAAGGATCTCAATATTACTTGAAAAAATGAGTTATTTAAAGCCCAATGTTAAAACAAGTTCTTCAATTTTATCTCAACATTTAAAAATTCAAAAAAAAGGCCAGGGATTTAGCTCAGTGGTTCCACTGCCTGCCTCCCAAGTCCAAGGTCCTGAGTTCCCCAGTACCCCCAAAATAAATAAATAATTAAAGAAAAAATATTCTTGTATTATTGTATTTTCTCAATGTTTTGTATTTTATATCCTTGAACACATATAGGCTATTCATGGTATTATTTTAATAGCAAAAAGCAAGAAATAACCTATGAGAGATAATACATCTAAAAAGAAAATATGTAAAAGATGTCTATTGCTATGGGATACTCTCCAGGACATATTCTCAAGTTAAAAAAGCAAAAGCATTAAAATGTATAGTATGCTTTAGATGTGTGTGTGTGGGAGAGGGATAGGTTTAATACGAATATATATTTTTTATTTTAAAAAATGAAATTAACCAAAAATTAATTTTTAAAAGTTATTTATACAACAGGAAGATGGACAGGACAGGGATAAAGCATGATTTCTCCAAAATATTTTTTTTGTAGATTTGACTCAATCAAATAAATGTTTTGCACAATTATAGAAAAAAATTATTTTAAAACCAAAATAAAGTAAGTCATCATAACTACACATCTGTTTGATAGCATATGCATGTAGAGAGAAAGTTCAAGTGACGTTAAAACCCAGAAATTGAACTACACATCCCTAGTGGGTCATATACTTTTTTTTCTTTTTAGGGATTGAACTCAGGAACTTGTGCTCGCAAAGCAGATGCTGAGCCACTGAGCTAAATCCCTGGCCCCTCCTAGTGGGTTATATACTAATGACAAAAAGAAATGCTAAGAAATCTTAAATTGCCAAGATATAAATATTAATACTATTACTTTGAAACTATATTGTATTGTCTATGTGTATACAGGTTATAGAAAATATATAATTTGTGTTAATAAATTGAGAAATAGAATTCACAGGGCTAGTACCAAAAAAAAATTTTTTACAGAAAGATACAAGAGAAAAGATATACCAACCAAAAGAAAAAATACAAGTACATTTGTCGGTACAGCTTACACATTTTCTCTTTAAAACAAAAAAACCTAGTGCTGTTCACTGAGAAAACCTAAATATATTCCAACCTATTGAGTATCTCTACTGCCTAAGTTTTATTTTCCAATAAATAAAAAACTTCAATTTTACTCTCCAATAAATGGCAAAGTAGCTTCTCTTAGAAATGGGTGATTCCCAACCTATAGCAGGAAATATGCAAGATGAGCCTAAAATATCTTATTGTACCTGAAAGTGAGGATGCCACGGTACAAGAGTCATGACAAAAGGACTCACAGCCAACCTGAGGCATTTCCACTGGCCAACAACAGGACAGTCTAAGCACCATTACTCTGTCTTTGTTTTTCTTTGTGTGTCTGCTTTTTCCTTCCTCTCCTTCCAATCCCACTGTTCCCCTTCTTGACAATAAACTCCCACACTTTTCAGAAACTTCCTCTACCTCTTTTCTTCTGGTATTATTGATCATAACTGTTTCAAAATTTCTTCTTAGAAATCCTGCCAGCTTATGCTGGGGAGGAAATGTGGTCATTTTTAAGTCTTTGTCCTCTGCAAAACTCAGAAATATTGTCAAAGAATTCAGAATCATCCTAAATACATGTCAGGACTTCCAGTTTTATATCCTTTCATAACATTACTAGCCAGTCCTTCAAAAGTACAAAAACAAAGTAGACTGGAATACTAATGAAACACTAAATGGGGTTGGCAAACTTTTCTGTTAAGGGCTATAAGCAAACATTTATGCTCTGGAGGCCAAAAGGAAACATAAAGATAGTATTAAGATATTTATATAACAAGACAAAACAAATTTCCACAAAAAATTTTCACAAAATTTAAAATATAATAAAGTGACTATAATTCTTTGTAATACAAGGTCTATTAATAAGATGAAGGGTGAAATAACAGTTTCCTTAACTAGGATTCAAAGTTAGTGTTCCTGGGGCTGGGGATTTAGCTCAGCAGTTCTGCCGCCTGCCTCTCAAACTCGAGGTCCCGACTTCGATCCTCAGTACCAAAAAACCAAAAACCAAAACAAAACAAAGTTAGTGTTCCTGCGGCTGGGTGTGTAGCTCAGCAGAACATATGCTGAACACGTACAAAGCCCTGGGTTCTACTCCCAGCACCACACAAAGAAAAAAAAGTTAGTGTACCCTATCATCAACAAGTGTTAATGATGATCTGAGATTTTACTGTTTCGTATTTGAAATTTTCTCATACACATATCCTATTTCTATGCTAGAACTTGTTTTCTAGCTAGGTCTTATTTTTGGGGAAACATGATAGGTACTGCCAAATTGTAAATAAAATACAATTTTAATTATTAGTACTTTTTAACCAATGAACACTAGCTGCCCAACTACCAAAAAAATTATGCTTTAAAAATCTCTTGGTGTCGAGTCTATACAGAACAAATGAGTTGGCATACATGTGTCACTCACAACAGAAGCCCTTTTTAAAGCATATGACTTTAAATGAGCTTATGCAATGCTTTCAGAACACTTATACTTGTACAATTACCTTCTTTGATACTTCCTTCTTGACATGTCATTCAGTAGAACGATTTTTCCAATTAAAGGTTACATGGAAGCTTCTCATACACAGAATTCAGTAGATTCTTAAATATGAAAATTTCCTCTGTACTTGCAATAAAAACTAAAAAACACTTCTGGAACTACAGGTTGGGCTCAGAAATTTCTTCTATTTAATTTTTAACAGTATAGAAGATGCATAAAATAGACTGACATTACTTATGATTCAAATAAATCTGCTGTGAAGTAACTTTACCACAGAGTAAGTTTCATATTTAAGCACTGTTTTGCCTTGTAATTTTACACTGAATGAATACATTAAGAAATATCAAGACTGCAGCAAAAGGTAATTTTCAAAGCCATTCAGTGTTTGATACTAGTGGTTGATGGGTGAATTTTCTTATTCAGAAAATTTCAATCTTGAATTTTTAAATCCAGAGCTCAAAAAATTTCAGCTAATCTACTAAACCACTGACATGCTGTGTAGAAGGATAAGTCAGAATAATAAGCTTCTATTTCCAACATAAAGTTCACAGAATAGTGACAATGATTAAGACTATAAAAGTGAATTAAATTCACTGTTGACAACTGCTGGTTAAATTACAAATGTCAGATTTAGATATTTTCTGTAAAGTAACTAATGATAACTAATATTTTATGCAAAGTATCTACTGATAAATAGGCTTTAAACATCTTTATATTCTCACAACTTTGTAGTTGTCTAACGCTTTTTCTGCTTCACACGTGTTTTTACTAATATTAACTGTATACATCTTAGGAGATTCTACTTCAGGTTTACTAAATTAGTATTCTCACATCTTCTTGGAAAATATTATTGCCTGTAGTCCCGGAAAATATTATTGCCTGTAGTCCCACACAGACTGTCACTAAACGATTCTTCAGCTGCACTTAACTTAACATTGACTCCTCAAGTAACAAAGCTTAAGTACCTGCAACATCTGTCAACTTACCAGGAGCCAAAAAAAAAAAAACACTCAAAATAATTTACTTGGTTCATTTTAAATAAACTACTGATGTTGCGCCCAATGTCTCAACTCTTCAACCGGTCTCCTCTAAAGACTGCCAGTCTTAGCCACATTTCCTCAAAAAGTCTACTTAAGCATGATTTAATTAACCCACCATTGAAAACAGCTTTCCTTGCTTGGCAAACAAATGAGCCTCTATCTATCTATCTATCTATCTACTTACCTATCTATCTATCTGTCTATCATCTTGCTACCATATATGTAGTCTAGGCCAGTTTTGAACATACTATGTAGTCCAGGCTGACCAGGGCTCACAATTCTTTGCCTCAGGCTCCCAAGTGCTGGGATTACAAGGCATGTTCCACCATGCCTCACTTTAGCTTTTTATCTTTGGGAAAAATTCTACTACAGTGATATTTCACTTTAAATACTTTAACTTTTCTGGCACACTGAGCAACAGGACAAAGTGACAGGAATACCAGATAGTCTCTGCTGGAATTCCTCATCTCTGATGTTGGTAGCAGTACGTAAATAAATGAGCATGGCTATGTTTCAAAATTTTTTTTATATGTAGACTAAAATTTAAATTCCATGTGTTATGTCTGGGGTTTTTTTGGTCAATCATTAAAAATATAAAAACCATTCTTGGCATGTAGATTACACAAACCAGGCAGCAGGCCATAGTTTTCCAAGTTGACCTATTGAAAACAAATTCCACAGCATCAATAAGTTTATTAAGAACCAAGGACACAGGTTGTTACTAGCTATCCAGAAAGACTCCTCTTATTAAAATTAACTAGACTAAGATTCAAAAACTATAAACAAAAACACAGAATGTAAAAGTAATTTTAGAACTGAAGTTGCATTCTGAGAAACCGTAAATTAAGATGGAAGGAAGAAATATTTATCACTAAAATTACACAATTAAGAAATAAGGGCTTTCAATAATCAAATAAGCCAAAATTTATTAACTTCTCAAATCCTAAGCATGTCTAGCTCCTTTCTAATAACTGATAAAAATTACTGTCCTTATTATAAGGAATATGAACACAACAGAATATCCTACCAAACTGAAAAAGGAAATCACAGATATGATACTCTTCTGGGAAACCCAAGGATGCTCAGTCACATCTGTTAATCATTAACAGATAAAAATACAGTAAACTTGATTACCAAAGAAAAATGTGTGTACATTCTCCATAAACATAAGCACCCTCATCTCCACTGAAGGCCTACCTACATAAGTTCCCCAGGGTAAGAGAACTTTAACTGCAATGAAAGTACCTATTTCCCTTGTAGAATATGCCCTATTAAAACATCTGATTATATTCCATGCTAGCACCAGTATCACCTATAAACTGAATAACTAAACAGTATATCAAAATTTTTAAGGCTACTTGACCCCAATAGGTACTTCATCTATTGAAAGTATTTCACTTTCGTGAATGTAAGTGCCACCCTCTTTAGCATTATCTATGTATCATCAATAATTGTTCGCTCCTTCTGAGAGGCCAAAACTCATTAAAACTAGGATTCACTGACTCCTACATACTTTTCAAAATAAACACACTATTTAAAGGACTTGGATTTTGTAAGGAAATCTATATTTATTCAATACATAGATAAGGGAAGATTATAAATTCTAGGCCACAAAAATCTCAAAATATATTCGTTATTAATCCTAACTGGTCTGGCTGAAACAACATATAAGAGCTTTCAATTTTTCAAGAAAAGGAAGCAGCAGCAGGTCATTCACTTTCTTTGCCAGAAATAAAACTATAGGAAACATCTTAGACTTTCAAATGCAGGACAAATGAGAGGACTATTAAGACTGACATGTGGGCCAAGGATGTTTTAGCTCAGTGGTACTGTGCCTGCCTTGCAAGCACAAGATCCTGACTTTGATTCCCAGTACCAAAAATAAAAGGACAGGAAGAGCCCATTCTGCAAGAAACTACTTCTATTCTATAACAAGTACAATCTTTAAATCACATCCTACGTCTTGGTAGTTGTATGTCTTACAGAAACCACAAACTATGGCTTCGCTTCTTCTCACATTCAAAAAGCTATCAAAAAAAAAATCAAAAATGTAGATCTTATCTTTTATCAAATAATTAAATCCCAAAATGGAAACTGGTAGTTGCTAGAACCAACACGGCCAAAGCCCTGAGGCATGCAAGCACAGCGTACAGTTATTGCAGGCACTGTTCTTATCCGCAAGTTACTTTTTAACTTGAACATACTTACGTTCTCTGTATTCTATTTCTGCCTCCTTACGTAGCTTTTTCTCTCTAGCAAGAGCTTCAGGGCTTCCCCAAACTTCCAAAGATCTGTGCATACACATATACCACCAATGAACAATTTTAATGACTTTATAGTAATTATATTTAAATCTAAACGATCTATTATAACTCAACAGAATCTTATAAAAAAGCACAAGGTCTTTCTTACAGAGATATATAAAGCACTAAAGGAATTTCACTAAAGTAAATATAAACAGTAAGTAAAAATTTTCTCGTAAGTTATAGCATATATTTAATTAGTACAATTAGTATATAGATAAATTTGTTACTATTACAAATTTGCAGATACAAAAATATTGTCTTTAAATTATGTCATTTTAAGAATTCTTAATCAGGGGCAGGGGATTTGGCTTAGTGGTTTCATCGTCTGCTGTACAAGTGCAAGGACCCAAGTTCAATCCCTGGTACCAAAAAAAAAAAAAAGAATTCTTAATCTGTCTCGAATGTCTTTTTATTAATCTCAAATTTAGCTTGTAGTTTTTCTCTAAAAGAACTATGTTCTTACTTTGCCTCCACGTCTGATCTCAAATATACAGTAAAGGACTCAGTATCTTCGTGGGGACTGCGTCGTCTGATTTTTCGAAGCTGTTCCAGATCACTGAAGAAAAAAAGCATGTTGCATTTATTCAAAGTACATACAGTTTATCAATTGAAAGAATTATTAAGGGCAGGTAAAAACAACTCATCTTCATTTTAAAAGAATATACCTATACAGCTTTTAAAGATCAGTTTAAAGATGGCATTTCTGTATATGAAAATGGCATAGAGACAGTGAAAAAAGAATTATTCTTTTTTTTTTTTTTTTTTTGAAACAGGGTCTTGGTGTGTAATCCAGGCTGGTCTTGAACTCACTATGTAGCCCAGGCTGGCCTTGAACTCGCGGCAATCTTCCTGCCACAAGAATTCTTCTTGATGCTCAACAATGTAATGCTGTGTGCATTCAACTCCCTCATCAGTGCTTGTATTTTTATCTGCTAAAGGCAAACCACCACTATCTTTAATACATGAAAAAAAAAAAGGCTTAAGTGAAACACTATAAATTGGAATATCATCTTCATAGAAAAGGATTTAAATAAAAAAATTTACAAGTCATTTGTTCATATCTAGATGTATATCAAGTCATAAAGGTTGTATGTCAATTAGACTGTACTTTTTTTTTTCTCCAAATTCTAAAAGAATGGGCTGGAGGTTTAGCTCAGTGGTGCCAGTGCCCGCCTGGCAAGCATATGGTCCTGAGTTCAATGCCCGGTTCCACAAAAAAAAAAAAAAAAAAAAAAGGTATCTAAATTCTAAAAGGTTTATATATTCATCAGGTCACTGTTAGTTAAACATTTGTATCTTCCTAATGGAATTTTTTTTTTTTGGTACCAGGCATCGAACTTGGGACCTTGCGCTTGCAAGACAGGTGGCGGAACCACTGAGCCACCTAATGGAATTTTTAACAGCCATGAAGAGACCTATAAATAAAAATTAGTGACAATGGAATGACATTAAGTTCTATAAATTAAATCTAGATTTTAAAAAATCACCAGCCATTACATATTACTAAAAAAGTTTGGGCCAGATACTAAAAGATATATATTCTAATTCCCTCCATGTCACTGATTCCTCTCTACATGAGCTAGGTCAAATCATTAACATGTTTTATTGTTTTTTCCTGGCCTATAACGTGGAAACAGCAGTCATGCAACTATAGGAATATTTATTTCTTGGACTATGAGGGAAGAGGGAAAAAAACATAGATTATATGGTTTCTCTTAAATGGATCAGAAAGGATGAAGAAAAGTTTTAAATCTGTGACAAACACAATTACAATAGATCTCTATGATTATGAGAAAATTAACAACAAAAGATATCAGAAAAAGGAAAATTTAGTTATACTTAACAGAAAACACAATTACAAGTATGATCATTAAATATAACTTACGAAAAACAACAACAGCAAAATGTATAACGTCAAACACAGAAATAACTTTACTATGTACCACATGTAACTATAATAGCAGAACTCCTAAGAATTCTGTGTGATAGAGAGGATTTTTTTTAAATTTATTTTGTGGATTTAAAAAGCTGAAAAAGACTGAAATTGTTCATGCTTGAGCAGAATTCAGTTTAATAAGCTAACAATTTTAACACTTTTGATTGAATAAAAACATCTCTCCAATTTAGGAAGAAGGCAGTGGGAAAATGTCTACATATAGATGGTAACAGGTAAGAAACAAATGACTAGGCCCAGGGTATGGTGCTATAATCCCAGTACTTGGGAGGCCAAGGCAGGAGGATTGCCATGAATTCAAGGCCAGCCTGGGCCACACAGTGAGTTCAAGACCAGCCTGAACTACACAGTGAGATCTTTTCTCAAAAAACAACAACAACAACAACAACAAAAACCTAGATTATTTAAATAAGGCATATCACCGCATTTTTTAGAAAGTACTGTACCTGGATTTGAGGCAGAACTCATTTATTGCTCTGACTCCAGTGATGAAATTATTCTGAGTGTATTTTGATCCATACTCCCTTTTCTTAAGAACTGCTTTGACTAAAGCAAAACACAAGAAACACGTAAGTATGCACATGAAAAGTCATATCTGAAAATGAATATATGTTGACATTTAAGTGAGTTCACTTGTGAATTCCACAGGAAGGTGATCTTTCCTCTTGATGTATAAAATGATATTTAAAAAAAAAAAAGCTCTGCTGGGGCATGGTGGCACATTTCCTGTAATCCCAGCACTAGGAGGCTGAGGGAGAAGGATGGATTGCTAAGAACTACATAGTGAGATCCTGTCTCAAAAAAGCCCCCAAAAAACCCAAGTGCAGAACAGGATGGAACTTCATTTATAGCCATCTAGCTTTTATCTGCATAAACTCACCTATAACTAATGCTAAAATGACCAACTTTTGTCTAACGAACACCTTGTGTGGTAGTACTCTTTAAATCATTAAAATAATTTAAATTACTTAGGACCTAAATGAAAACAAAGTTTCAATAAAAAATTACAGGTTTAGTTCTAGGATTACAGAAGGCTGAGCAGCAAGCTTGGGGGATCGGGGTCATCGAGTATTCCCTCAACTGGAAAGTCCTTCCCTAGTCTCAGTTCCTGTCTCGAGGCCCCGCCTGCCACCTACAGCGGGGTATTTGCACCCAGCACATGGACCTCTACCAGTACGCCTCCCCACCGGATGCCCTGTGCTGGATGCCGAAGACTTGGAAGCGGACAGGCCCACCCTCTCGAGATGGGCCTTCCCAAAGGGCAGAGGGGCCTGGGTCCCGAGGGGACAAGGGACCTGGATTGCCCCCACCCCGCTGAGGGAGTCCCTTCCCCCCAGGCTTGTATATAGACTATAAATATACAAGGGGGAAAGGGGCAGGTGGGGAGGGGTGGTGGGGCTTGAGGCACATTTCCACTCCTCCCCCGCCCCCCTGGGTCTCCTATCCCTGGGGTCGTTTGTTTAAAAAAAGTAGTAAAATAATTTTTTAAAAATTACAGGCTAATTCAGTTTTTCTCAAAGGTGAGGTGAAACCAGCATTTTATTAAAAAGTCAAAAGAGAAAGCAATCAAAGAAATTAAGAATAAATATTTTTTGTGAAAATTTTTGATTCAGTTATATATAATAATCTATACTTTCTGGGTCGTTAACTAGTATTTTTTGTGGATTACAGTCAAAAAAGTTTAAAGCCACTGGACTATTTCATGTAATATAACAAAACTGAAGTTAACTAAGAAATTTTATCAATCAAAAAATTTCACAAAGCTTACAGGTTATAAATAAATATGGCCTTCTAATAAATTATTTTCCTATTTTTAAGTTTCAAACTATTCATAAGGGTCTGGGAATATAGCCCAGTGGTAGACTGGTCTAGGATGTGCAAGGCCCAGGTTTAATACCTAACACTAGGAAAAAAAAAATCTTGGCTCATGCCTATAATCCCAGCTACTCAGGTGGATGAGGCAGGAAGATCATAAGTTTCAGGCCAGTCAATTTCACAAGACTCTGTCTCAAAATAAAAAATAAAAAGGGCTGAGGATATAAGTCAGTGGTACAGCATCCCTGGGTATACATAAAATAAAACCAAAAAACAAAAAACCAAAAAACAACCAAAGAAACAAAACCACATTTGCTCATAAAAAATAAAGACTGGCACGTTAGACATGATGGCACACACCTGATATCCCAACCTTCTGGGAGACTGAGGCAGGAGGGTTACAAGTTTGAACCTAGCCTGGGCAATTTAGTGACTTAGTGAGACTCTGTCTCAAAATTTTAAAATTGCTGGGGCGATAGCTCAGTACAAAGGCTCTAGGTTCAATTCCTAGTCCAAAAAAAGAAAAGAAAAGAAAAAAAGACTGAGGACTGGGAATGTAGTACATAGGCCCTGGGTTCAATTGCTAGTACCACCAAAACCAAAAAAGGTAGGCTGAAGATGCCTAGGCGTCAGTCAAGGTACACACCTGTAATCTCAGCACTGGGAAACTGAGGCAAAAGGACTGCAGACAGTTTGAAACCAGCCTGGGCTACATAGTGAGACCTTATTTTAAAAAAAAAAAAAGTAAGGACTGCCAGAGACACCAATAACAAGGTACCAAATTGGCATTATTTACAGTCTGTGAGTTATAAATTACACACTGTTCAATGTTAATAAATCATTATGATGTGAGGCTTTTGGTCATGTGATATAGACAAGCGCACATCTGAAGAATAAGAGCAAAACAACAAAAACTGTGTTTGGTTTCAAATTGGCATTTACTTCATGTTCTATGTTCCTATATGTTAATTCCTAGTTTTGTTTTACTTCCAAGTTAAAAGAACAAAATTAAGCCTAAAACTATCTATCATTTTAGTGGATAAAAATAATCCTTTAATAACATATTAGCTACAAAAATAAGATGTACATATACACTCAATTAGAATATTTCAAAAATAAAGTTCAATATAAAAACCAAAGCCTTATCTGAGAAAAGTATATGGCAGTTCAGATTTCTTTTAGCATGATTTCAGGTCCCTAGGCTGCCTTACTCCAGTAACCTAAAACCCAAAATCCAGGTGAGCTCTTCTAGAACTAAGAGAATTACATCTTCTTTTAAAAGATTAGTTATTTTAAAATAAAATAAAATAGTTAATATTTTTTCCTTCAAAATAGCTAGAAATTTCTGTTTGCCTATCCTGGCCCAGATTATTGATGATGATTATGATGGTGTTAACTGTTATCCCAATATCCATTATTCTTAATTGTGACTATCTGCTATCCTAAATATCTAGGATATCTGCTATCCAGGATAGCCAGTTATCCTAGAAAACAGGCCTCATTTTTAGTACAATCTTACAGGGGAGACAACCAAGACTCAGCTCAAATACACAGCCCAAGGCCAGACAGATGGTAAGCTCAGGAGCCACAAATTGCATCAGTTTTGTACGACACCAAAGCCACCGTGCTTCTAGCCACATACAGTTGCTGTCTCCACAAAAAAGCTGTTTTGCAGATGAGAATAACAGCATGTTACATAGAACAGAGCTGCAAACAGAAATTACTTCAGTATTCAATTATTCCTTTAAAAAAATCAGACAAAAAAAAATATATATATATCAGATTACTATTCTAAAATTGATAAGGCAATAGTTTCGCTTCTTTAGGCTTTTAAAATAGTTATGACCAAAATGCAAAATAAACTTCAGTAGAAAAAGAGCTTATAAACAATAAATTCTTATGGACAGTCTATTTAAATAAAAGCAAAATAGCACTGTATCTTTAGAATGTAACTATAAAGACATCCATACTAACAAATCTTATATATTTAATTCAAAATACTAGTATAATAAAAAAATAGAACAAAATATATTTACCCCTTACTTGGAGAGGTTCTTGCTTTAGCGGAGCTTTGAGTTCTGCACCTATGTTTTCTGCTGTAAAGTTTATTAAAACAAATTTACATTAAGGGCTGCTTTCATACTAACCCATGAGCTTAATTAATATTAGCCAATTTAATCTATAACTGTATAAAAAAGATAATATATCACAGTTCATGTTGGATTTATCCTGTGAGTGTAAGAGTAGTTAAACATTACAAGAGCAATTTATTCCCCTGACTAACAGATTAAAGGAGAAAAACTACAGAATCATTTCAGGAGCTATAGAGAAAAACCATTTAATAAAATAAAACAGCCATGCAAATGTCAAACCCTTTCAAAAACTTAGGACACAAAGGGATTTCTTCAAAGGATAAAACAAATCTGTAATAAATATTGTATTCAAGTTTAGGTGGATTTCTGCACAGGAAAAAACAAAACAGGATATACAAAATTCTTCCACTTAAGACTGTCTTAGAGATACTACTCAGTGAAAAAAGGATGACTAATAAATGGTTTGAGACAACTGTACAATCCTCCATCCACAATAAATAAATATCGTTGCAGGGGTCGGGGATTTAGCTCAGTGGTGCCATTGCCTGTCTCTCAAGCTCAAGGTCCTGAATTCAATCCCTGGAATAAATAAATAAATAGAGTTGCAGTTCTTATTGCTTAATCACAATAAATAGATAAAATCTAAATATAGATAAAAGGAAATGAAAAGAATCAAGATGTGATAACGTACATGTACCAATTCCCAATTCCCCATGATGAATTTTGTATCATTTTGTATCACAAACATATGTTAATAAAAAAGGGGAAAAAACAACAAAACTAAAGAAACTCAATTCTACCTCCTAAAATAAATTTCCACCTACAATAAATTTCAGATAGATTAATTACTTAATCTATATGTATATGCCTCATAATAGACAATACAAAATATTTTCATGGTCAAGAAAGGTTTTTAAAAAATTATGCTATATTAAAATTCAGAATATTTGTTTATCAGAAAACCCCATGTAAAAAAGAAAGGAAAAAAAAATCTCAAAATGGGAGCTAATTTCAATAAATGGAATCAATAAAGAACTAGTATCAAGAATATATTTTTTTTTAAACAGCCATTTCTTTCTTTTTTTTTTTTTTTGGTACCGGGGATCGAACTCGGGTCCTTGCGTAAGGGCTGGGGATTTAGCTCACTGGTTTCGCCACCTGCTGCGCAAGCGCAAGAACCCGAGTTCTATCCCCGGTACCAAGGAAAAGAAAAAAGAATATTTTAACAATTCTTCCAGATCAATCATAAAAAGTGAGAACAAACTTACATGGATAAAGAAATATAAACTAATAAATATATAAAAGGTGATTAGTTCATTATTAATGGGATGCAAGTGAAACTACAAAAAGCTATTTTACTACCAATGGATTAGGAAAAATGAAAATACGACAACACCTAATTCAGCACAGGTATAAAGCATGGAAACACATACCACACTACTGGTCAATATATAAACAGGCACAGTTACCTTGGTAAAAAAGTTGGCATTATCTAATATGTTAGAACATAAGCAATACAGCTGACCCTGCAATTCTTCTAGGTCAATATATTAGGCTTCAAAAAAAACCTTGCACCAGGGCACAAGAGAGGTACATGAACAGAGCAACACTGTGTTTTACAATGTTTTGTTACAATCTAGAATCAATCCAAATGCCCATCAGCAAAATAGACAAATCATGTTATATTCATTTCATTTCATATAGCTGTGAATAATGATAAACAATCTTTCTTTTTACTCTTTGATGCCCGACTGTATGTCAAACCCTACTCTATGTACCAACTCGTTTAATTCACTGAAGCTTCTGACAAGAGCAGTTTTCCCAAAATAGTTGACATGAAGTAGGTTGAAGAGACAATGGGAGATGAAGTGGGAGAAGCATTTGGACTTGGAAGAGGTAAATGTAATCATGGAAAGGTTGACTGTATTTCATACAGAAAACATAAGAATGATGCACTGAAGAAAAAATTGGTGTAACAGATTAAGAGGATAATCAAAAAGCAAAGTCCTCGAGCAGATGAGACAGCATGGAATCCAGATTATTGTATACAAGAATGAAATGTAATTAATGTAATCTCTGAAATGTAATTAAATAAAAATTAACTGTTTCCACATATTTACAATATGAATGCATTTAAATTACACAGAACACATTAAATCTGATCACTTTTTTGTGGTACATTTGGACAACTGCCATCTTAATGTCTATTTCACTTTACCATCTTTCATTTTCTTCACCTCTCACCATCTGTTACATTGTTCAAAATTTTCAATATCCTCCTCTTACTCTAACCCCCAACTGCTGGTTTAGAATTTTTAAGATTATATTTCTATTGTTTAATTGTGCATACATACTCTTGTAAATCTTTCTAAACATCTATAAAATTATTTGGCATCCATCTCTATCTTCCTCTGGAATAAGAAAAAAATTTTAACTACTGAAAACTTCTTTCATCTTACTACTCTTGATTAAAATGTCTAGTATTAAATATTGAAAGTGTTTATTATTTCTATTATCAATACTTAATTTTACTAACATCTTTCTTTCATCCATTTCTTGTTCTTCATTGTTTTATATTTCATCTCTTCTTTCCCCTGAATTTATTCTGCATCTTGTAGGTGGGTTGGCTAGTGACATTCATCTTTACAAGTGTGCTAACATGTTTATTTTGCCTTTACTCTAGAATGATTATTTTGATTAGCATAAAATTCTAGGGTAACATTTACTTTTCCTTTACTCTTTCATGGTTATTACTACAAAACACTCCCTCTTTTGTTTTCTGCATATCGCTGCACCTATAACATCTATTTCAAAAGAGCAACAAATGGACTCAACATTATGACTTTTCTGTTTGCTAACTTTTAGATTGGGTTCTTTGTTGAATCTGTGGTTTCAGGTATCTGGGGCACATTTCTTTTTACTTATTTGGCTTAATATTCAAAAGGCACTTTTTGGAGGATTCCTATGCACCTTCAAAGTGAATTTCAATTTACTAATTCTCCTAAAGGCTATATCTATTTAATCTACTAAATTTTTATTTTAGTGACGCACTTTCAATTCTAAGATTTCTAGTTGTCTCTTTTTCATATTTATTTGTTCTGGCTTTATTTCCACTAGTTTGTGCTTCAAAACTTCTTATACTTCTTAATGGACATCAGTCCACTTATACTGAGGTTATTTTAATACAATTCAGGCCATTATTTGATCTGGAGTTAGTATCTCTTGATTCTGTTGGCTTTCTTAGCAGTAGGGTTTCTCATATTTTTTAAGTTTTGGAGCTTGCAAACTAAAAATAGATATATCATTTGACCCAGCTACAGCTCTCCTGGATATATTACTAAAAGAGTTAATGATGTCATACTATCGTGATACATGCATACCCTTGTTTATAGCAGTGCAATTCACAACAGCTAAACTCTGGAACAGCCTAGATACCAATCAGTAGACAAATGGACAAAGAAAATGTGGTGTATATACACAATGGACTATTTTCAGTCATAAAGAAAGAAATAATGTCATTTGCAGGAGAACAGATGACTCTTGAGACCATCATGTTAAATGAAATAACTCACACAGAATGTTAAATATTGCATGATTTCTCTTATATGAAACCCAAAATACAAATTAAAGAGTAAAAAAAAAAAGGAGAGATGGTAGGAAACAGGGAGGGAGACTTTTTGGAGAAGGATGAGACCAGATGAAGGGGGAGGAAAGAGAGAGGGTAAAAAGTAGGGAACTGAAAATTTTATTATACATAAAATTTCCTCCAAAATTAATGTAACTATTAAGTATCACAAACATACACTAATAAGTCTCATAGTGAACAGGATATTTCTTCACTCGCCTCTTCACACTGTCATACTCAAGAGCTCAAATGGATCCCTCTCTCCAGAACCAGATCTCATACTGACAACTTGAAATTTCTACCCCTAGATTGGGGGGTGTAGCTTAGACTAGGAATACAGTTCAGTGGAAGAATACTTATCTAATATTAATGACACCCCAGCTTTAATGCCCAGCACACACAAAAAATTTAAAAGTCCCATCCCTCAATCTAGTCTCTAAGCAAGCAAACAAGAGATTTTAGTTGCTAGTCTTCTTGCCTCCCTAGACCGAAACCTTCCTATAAGACACTGCCTTGAGTAGCAAGTGGAACAGCCTCTTGTACAGGGATGAATGGATAAGTTCAACAGGTGAGCTCAACCTCGATACCTAGCTATTGATGTAGCATGCAAACCTATCACCCCAAACAAACCAAATACCTAGCTGCCACTGCCTGCTTACAGAGCCCAGATGTTTCCGTTCTATTTTTCAGATAAAGTATGAGGGTTTTCTTTGTTTTAGCCCAGCTATGAGTTCAATTTTTTAAATTTACATTTACCCATCACTCCTATGTGTGCAAAGTAGAGTGGGAACCTCAAAGTATGCACTCACAATCCCAACTTGATCAGAAGTTTCACCTATCCACTTACTAACCTTTCAAGACTTATAAGAAGGAATTGAATGCTAACAGACTAAGCAACAAAGGCCAAACTCTCTTTGAAATAGAAACAAAAACTTTACACATAATATTTAGCATATTTCTTGGCAATTATTTTTCAGTAAAAACCGCTGGGAAAAATTCCTGTATACAGTATATTATGGTGCAATTACTAAAGCATGTACAGAAAATCTAAAACTTTAACTATGAACCAAATCCTAAGAAGGTTATGGTGGTGTACTGGGTAATTAAACTTTTTAAAAACACTTCCATTTTATTAGTAACTATAGGCTATAATAGTAGAAATTAATGAGTTAAATAATTATTTTGATTATTATTAGTGCTACAAGGGTAGACAATTTTACGCATTTTTATCTACAGAATTTATATATCAATTTTTTAAAAATTTTGCTTTGGGAAACAGCAGAGCAGAACAAAGGGAAGGGAAAGGAGTGGAGTAGTAAGTTTTGGACACTTGCTAGTGTCTGAACAACTGAAAATTTTACTGTCAAAAGTTTCAGAAACTACCACTTCTTTCTACAATGATCACTCAACCAAATCACATCAAACAAGTTTCTCTAAGATGGATACTGAATATTCTTCTCACTACAAGCTGTCTAGATGTTACTAAATATATAATGGTATGAAGCACAAACAAGAATGTTAGCAAATGGCTCAAACACACGTATGAATACTTATTTTGCACACCACCATCTATAAGTCACACTGCATCACTGGAGTAGAATATTCTACCCAGTATCTCTAGACATTTGTTTTAAGCTCAAATCCTGGCTGTTTGCCACACATCTGCTGTCATTAGGAAAATTAAAACTAATTTTACTAAAATTTGAAACATCTGAATGCTTCTTAAAAATTTAAGGACGCCTTGGCAAGTCTGCTTCTTAATGAGCTGTTCCTGACTTTAGCATGTGATTTGAATTATTCAAAAGTCAATCTCAAACCCTTAAGTATACAAATTATCTTTCAATCAAGCAATTACCTGGTGTCTATCTGATGGCTAATAAGATCTAATCTGGCCTAAGCAAATCTTGAAAAACAGAGCTCAAAATAAAACTGTCAATAAACAATATATTTCTAATATACAAAAATAAACTAACATTTTTATTCCAGCCAATGAAGAAAAAAGAGTCCTACTGAGTGTCAACTTTAAAGGTTCCGTATAGTGGAACCAACATTCATGCTTGCCTGAGTGTATAATCATTTAAGAATATATTTTACATTATATATTAAATAATATATTAATATATTTTACCATTAATTATATTATTTCATCATCTGCTTTGTCATCACTGTGCTCTAATAAACATGCTTAAGTCTACAACTTAGAAACTCAATACACTCTCCATTCCTTCTTCCTATAATATCCAACTCTTAATATTTATCGCAGTAGTTTGCCATCATAACAAGAGATGGAGAAGAAACTGGCTAAAAGTCCACAGTTAAACCCACAGTGGGTTGGGCTTAGGAAAAAGAATGGAAAATTGACCTCATTAACATGAATAAAGTTTCTCAGGAATAATAAGACCCTCTTCTGTGAGCCATCCAACTACAAGAAAGCTAGTTTGGGGATGTTTATTCTTCAAACACTAATCTGATACTATATACTCCTTGGTTTTTCACCAGCCATTCCTTCTCAAGTCTGCTTTGCAGAATGCACCAACTTTTTACTTTACCCACTTGGGTGATTTTGTACTAAAGATCTTATCTCTTCCTCCTAACCACTCTCCCTACACTATCTTAAACAAACTCATGGCTTTAGTAACCATCTGTGTGTAGCTAAAACCTCTTTAATCTTTACGTTCAGGTTAAAATTCCATGTACTCCCTCATTTACAAATATTTATTAAGCCCTTACTATGTGCAAACCACTGCTCTAAGCACTCAAGTTCCTGCTGTCTTGAGGCTTGCAACAAGCATAAGATGAAGAAATAAATGAAATACTAAAAATATCGCTCAGGAGTGTTACCTATGCAGATAATTACTGTAATATTAAAGATTGGGGGGCTACTTTAGTTTGAGGATTTAAAAACACCTCTGTGCAAACAACATTTAAACTAAATGTTAGCTAGGCAAAGTGGCTCACACCTATAATCCTAGCACACTAGGAAGCTGAAGCAGGCAGACTGCAAGTTCAAGCCTTGCAATCTGAATTTCCTCATCCCAGTACTTACCATAAAATATTTTTTGTTTGATTTTCCATTTTAGTAATGGAGACTATAAACTCAGTCATTCTCACTTATTGCCATATTAAATTAATGAATAAGTGAATGAAGGGCTTCCTTTTAATGCTGCATTACAGACTAGATACCTTGAACACAACCTTTTTAAATGCATCACTAATCCAGGGGAAAAAAAGAATTCAAAGAGGACACAAACAAAGTAAAAGTAGAACCTCTACAAACTAAGAGCACAACAAAGCCAGCTTTTCCTCTAATGATTTCTGTTGAAGCTTGTATGTTTTGAGCTTCTACCTCCATAGCTGAAAAGGATATGGGCAACCAGAGAATTAGGCTAGCTTCTACTCAAGATGGGGACAGACACAGGAGATATCCAGATAATAAACCCACACACAAGGTGTAACTGTGAAGTGGAAATAAATAATAATCACAGAAGAGAAGAGTAAGGAAATAGGCCTGCTTCCATTTTGGTGATAAGTAGCAAGGAAGAAATAAAACACTCCCCTGAAAATCCTAAGGATAAGTCAATCTTTACAGAAGTGTGCAATGTGAATTTGGGCCAACAATGTGGTCTAAAATATCTAAAGCAGAGAATTTGATTTCATGTGGTCCCAAGTTGTGTCCCTATCAGGTAACAGATGCAAAAAGCAAATCCTTATGCAAAAATACATATTCAATTCAGATAAACATCAAACAGTTTCAAGATAGAAAAACTGCATGGAAAATAACCAACTCAGTTACAAAACACAGGTATGGCATCATTAATGGGAGCAAGAAAGGGAAGAAAAAGATATATAGTGAGAACCAAAAAGAATTCCAGTCACAAAATACAAAAATTTTGAATAAAAATTTGAACAAATAAGCAAAGAATTAGAAACCAAGGAAAGATACAAATTTTTTCTTGAAATGAAATATATAATGAAATTAAAAATATACAACCAGTCAGCAGATTAGAAGAAATTAGTGATCTAGGTAAACCTGAGGAAATAACCTAAAAGACAAACCAAAAAGATTAAGAAAAACAGAAAATAAGACAGAGTGGTTTAGTTTAGAGACATGGGAAACAGAGAAGAGCTAACATATTCCTAATTGGAGTTCCGGAGAAAGATAATAGGGAAGCAAAAAGCATATCTGAAGAAATGATGGCAGAGAACTGTAGAATTCCAGAAATATACAAAATACCAATCCTCAGATCCAAGAATCCCAACAAATCTCAAGGAGGAAAAATACAAAGAAATATATAGAAATA